TCGTGCTTCCATCTGCAGCATTTGAAAATATAATCTTCCCCTTCTCATAGTCTAGTTCCACAGTAATCCTCTGTGGCTTCTTCTTCAGTGCTAGGCGGAAGCGAGGAGATGTCTGAGCCCAGTATGTGTCCCTGTTGTTTAGTCCAATGACCCAGAATCCCTCTGAAGGGTTGAGAAAGACACTTGTCTTCCTTCTGATGGATTCTCGTGCCACTCCGATGTACCACTCCCGGCTTTCTCCCACGTCCACATCCCAGCAGTGCTTTCCTGATGTAAAGCCGGTAGAACCCAGCACCGCCATGCGGCTAGAACAGCGCTCATGGTTATCTGGAAGTTGCTGCTTCTTTCCATAACAGACACTTGAGAGTTCATCACTGAGGATCAGGTTAGGATGGGCTGTGGTGGGATCAAGAGTAATAGGACCTGGAAAAGTTTGAAAAAAAAAGAATTTGTCTCATCCCAGATTTTATGCTTTTGAATAACTGACGAGTGGTGTGGAAATTCAGAGCCCTTCAATTGGACAGATCTTCATTCTTTGAAACTCTAGTACATGTTGTAAGGGCTTGATATTGGGTAGCATTCACTTGTGTGTCTCTTGACTTTAAGACTTGTCTGAAGACTTTCATCTTAATTTTCTTCAGCCCATCGGGCAGTGTGGCACCCAGCCTACTCTGTAGCTGCGCCTAATTGTCTGCCATTCCATTTCCGGTCAGTTGTCAGTTGTAACCCAAATACTTTTAGCTCTGCTGTTGTGCTCAATTGTCAGTTCACTGACTATACCAGAGTCTTCTGTACCCTGTGTAATGCCTGGCTAACACAACAAGATTTTTTAAATCCTAACTAATGTTAAAAAACATGAGACCCTGTACATGATGGCAGATTCATATTTTTTTGTCTTTAGTCATCTATCCAGTTATCAGAGCCCCCAAAACAAAATGCATCAATGGTCTCGTCTCTCAGAACCTGAGATCATGCAGAAATTCACGTGAACAAACATGACTTGAGATCAGTGGTCTCCAGCCTTTCTCCTGTAGAGTTACTTACCTGCAGAGCTTAGTCCCAACCACAGTTTGCCACACCTGCTCCAGCTAATCTACCTATTCCCAAGTCCCTGATTGGCTGGATCAGATGAATTAAGTTAGGTAAGGGGTTTGGCAGCTTACTGAATACAAGTTGGAGCTAAATTTGGCAAGAAAGTAGCTCTCCAGGAAGAGGGTTGGAGACCACCGCTAGGTAAGAACAAACGTGGCAGACGGCAGCAAGGCACAGATTACTGTGCTAGTTATATGTATTAGGATAAAGAATTACTTGTGTCTTTCCATTCAGCTTTCACAGTCTTTCACAGGTGATCTCAGCACCGTGTTTCATGTGAGAGAATTGGTGTCCCCCCACATACTACAGGATGTAGAGTTGTAGATATTGAACATATTCAATATTTATGATTGGACATCAGGAGAGCAACGACTGGACTGTGAATAGATTGGTAAAGACTTCATTTTACACACCCCACACTACAGGATAATCTGGGAAGATAATCATTTAAGACCTTCCTTAAATCAGGACGCCTTTTTAAGTTTGTAGCGAGGGGCGAATTGGCCTCAGAGTCGGCTGAAGTATCCTGTTGTGTGGGCCATCCATGTGTGACATGCTTAAAGTAAAGGGTTAGTGATAGCTGGATGCATTCAGTGCGCATTTACAAATACATTTGAAAATACTTTTTTATGGAAAGATTTACAAGTATAGCTAAAGCATAAACTGAAGGACCCTTTAATATTCAGATTATCCCTTTTCACAAAAGCCAGCATAGTCAGTGAGGTCCAAAGACAGTGCTTTCTAAATGGGCAGGCTAAGGTGGTTTGAGCCTATGAGTAACTCAAGATTAGAATATAAACTGTATCCGATAGGGACTTCGTCTACTGGTTTAGTTCATTTGATTGTTCATAACAGACCAAATTCAGATGAAATACATAACATGCTTTAATCTTATAGAAGTGTGCTTTATGTGTATTAGCATATATTGAATTTATGTATACATGAACAGCATCTGTCCTGTTGTCATAACAGTCCATGTAACATACCACAGTCAGGCACAGTACTGGGATATTTACCAGCTGAGTACAAGAGTGGAGACAAAAATATGGATTAAAATTGAAAAATGTATATAAATGTTATAATAGCCTATTAGGAATAGAGTACCTAATTAAGTCTCTGCTGAAATTTAGGATCTCCAGTGCTCCAGGTTAAAGACAGTATTGAAACAAAGGGCCAGTGCTGGGAGTGACATGTCTGCATACTTACAGTGCTTCACTACTTCCCCCATCCTCTTCCAGACCCCAAACCTTAATGATCCCAGGTACTGAGCTGTGTCTATGAGAACATCTTTTGTGTACTGCATTTCGTGTATTGGGTAACACGCCCTGTAATACATTTGTAGCCTGCTATTAGCACATTTTAGATTTTTTCCACTTGGCACATCAGTAACACAGCAATGGCATGAGACTCTATCCATTAATAGTTACGGAAGTCTCAGCAATCAGCTTGCTTTACAGGAAATTAAGTGTTAAAAAAATACATTTTGCTGGCATACCTTCTTATTGCTACCTTGCAGTCCTTTGGAAAAAAGGGAAAGATTTCTCAGTCAGACAGCAGCCAATGCATAATACCAGTGATTGGATTTAAAATTAAATATGAAGACTTATGCAGACCTTTAGAAATGACATATCATCTTTTTTCATAGTATATGCAATGTCATCTAAGATTTCTGAGAGTTCTTCGAACGTTTGAGTGATGTCCTCCAGCCTCTCCCTGACTGTCTGAGTCTTCTTGGTGGTTTCCTCTTTTAGCACCATCAGTCGGGCAGCCTCCTCTTCCCTGAGAAACCTGTGGAGCTTCTCAAATTCCTCTTTCATTTGGGCTTTGGCCTCAGTGGCTTGGGTCTTGAAAAAAAACAAAGGATTGCTTCAGGTGGCATTTAAAGAATGCTGAAGGTGTGCCTTGCTTATTGCTGCTGAAGCAAATGGAGTAGGAGCCACTTAGCTTTGTGACATTGATTTCATGTTAACTGCTCCTCACTAGCTTTCTTTCATTGTTAGCCTTTTTTGCATGTAGTTTTCCATTAAGAATTTGACTGGTCTTATGTACAGCAGTTTACCTCTATAAATCCTTGAAGTTCCTCCAATGTTCCCTTCATCTTTTTAATACTGTTTAGATGTTTTTTCAAAGCTTCATACTTTTTTGAAAGCTCTTTCTGTAGAGGGAAGTAAATAAACACAATTTATGAATAAATTCCTCAGGTAAGGTGACAAGAAACAAAGAAAGGACATGGCATCTTCAAGGTTTCAGATTAATGAAGTGAGTCAATGTTATCAAGTTTGTTACATATTGGCAACATTCATGTATTTCTATCAATCTTATAACGTGAATCATTCAGGCCTCCTTACCTTTCTGTCAGCTGCTGCCTCTGCAATAGGACAACACTCATGGTCTTTATGGTCCCTTGATGAGTGGCAAACAACACAGATTGGCTTCCCATCTTTTTTGCAGAAAAGTTTCAGCTCCTCCTTGTGTATTAAACAGAGATCATATTTCACCAAGTTCTGATTTGCTTGATTTTTAAAGGAATCCGATGCTATCTTAAGAGCCAGGTTGATTGGGGGTCTTCTTGTGCTCTCTGTGCGGTGACATACTGAGCACTCTTTTGATTCTTTCCATTCCCAGTGTGCCTGAATACAGACTTTACAGAAGTTATGTTGGCAAGTCAGTGTAACAGGGAAGGTATAAATCTCACCGCATATAGGACATTGCAGATCCTCTTTGGAGAATGGACATTCGGTTGCCATTTGTTTATGCCAGGACATTAAGCTCAGCCATGAATCTGTATGTTACGCTGTCCCTCAAAGATTTGAAGTAGCTTCTGGTAAAAGGTGACCTCTCGCATAAAAAAAAAAATACCAGTTTAACTGGATCTGCATAGCTTCCTGTTGTGGCAAAAATATGTATACGTCACCTAGGTCCCCTTTAAGGAAAAGGAAGAGGCTGCCAGTAAATGTAACAAAGATTTTTTTATTTAATTTTTTCTATAAAAAAGTCCCTGGGTATGTACGTAGGACCATTTTCAAACATTCAGTCTATGTATAATTACATAATCAGAGCTTTAATCTGATTCTGAAGCGCAAACATGCTTATATTGAGAAGAACATATGTAAAGAGGTAGTTATAGATTGTGAGTTGCCAGAATGCAAAATAGCTACACTGGGCAATATGCAGTTTGTTAGTAAAATTGGACAATTGTAATACATTTTGAAAACAAAAAGTATATTAATTAATAAACAGATAAGTCAAGAAGGCTAATTATGAAAAGAAACAGAAGAAGAGCAGCATTATCTCACATTGCTCCCATACACTTATAAGAATTAATTTTACACCTTATTAAGAGTTAACATGCTCAGCCATATATATATATATATTATATATATATATATATATATATATATGTACACGGTATTGTAAAAATTCTCTTTGATGTGCTGTATCTGTGAAAACTTGTTTCAGTTTATAAGATGCATCAAAGTTTAGATCATGCATGACATATTTGCTATCCTATCAATGGAATAACTAGTGTGGACAGAGAATAGCAGAGCCATGTGGATCAAAAGCAAACACAGACCAGTGGTTCTCAGTCCTAGTGCCCATAACCCTAAGTACTGTAGAGTTCCATGTTGTTTCTGTAGTCACACTTGGCTCATAAAGGGCTTTACAATTACCCAGTGAAATAATTGTGTGTTAGGGTATGGAGGGTATGAAAAATACAGTAATAGGTTGACCCTTTGGACTTGGATTAAGAACTGCAGAAGACATTCAGTACAGCTCACATGGTTTAAAGTGTGGTGAAATAAACTGTCATCTACATGAAACAGAAAAAACAATTCTTAAAAATAAAAAATAAAATGGATGACTTCACAAAATATCTGAAGGACTGATTTATATAATGCAGATTGGAGTTTCAAATAAAAGCACCCACAAAAAAGAAATGACAAAAATTACATTTGGGTCATTTTCAAAGCATTCGTAATACTTCAGATACTATAGTCCAACTCAGTGTTACAAAAGTACATTGTGGCAAAAATAAGAAAAAAAATGTTCTGATCTCAACATGTTCCTAAAATTCATCAGTAATTTGAGAATTTTTGACGACACAGCAGCACATTTTATTTTAGTTGGGGAAAAACTGACTTGTGGGAGTAATTGTGCTAGCTTGTCAACTTAATGGAAAACAAATATGAGAAATACTGCATTATTATGTTTTAAATAAATTAGATAAATTAGATAATTTGGGATCTGACAAAAGTTACATAATTGGCCTATTTAGGAGACAACTCATCGGGTAGAACAGACTTTCATAGTAAACAAATAAAGATGGTGGAAAAATAGACATTACTATGTTTACCATCCTTATAACAAAACAAAAAACCTGTTTACTGATTTTTTTCATTTTTTTTCTTAACAATATATATATATATATATATATATACACTAGTGATAGCATATAAATAGGTAGGATTTAAGAGTCTGTGGCATAAAGTTGCCTAGTGACAAATGAAAGCCTGCAAGGTCACTGCAGTTTCACAAACAGCAAACATTTCTTTTTATTAAATATACAGTTGCCAAAAAATGGCATGCCTTAAAGATCCAATATATGGTATGTGTAATGATCACCTCTGTGTCTCATCTCACATGGTCTTTCAGGCAGTAGTCACTGCCTCAGCCAGTAAGAAAAACAGTTTTTGAGTCAGAGGTAGTGGGTTCTCTTAAAAATTGTTCTGCTCCAAGTATTACGCTTGGTGCAGACTGCTGAAGTCTTCCATTGTGATTATTTCTCCTGGTGGGACGATGTGTTCGGTCTTGATATTAACTCCACATGAAACGAACAGAGTGGAATTGAACACATTCCCTGTGTGTGTCTCCTGGTAGAGAACACTGCAGTGTTTATCTCAAGAGGAGCCACTTTGGGGATGGGTCACCTTGTCCAAGGCTGGACTTTATAACCATTGAACATCATACAAAACCTGGCTTCATAGAAGCACGGCGACATTTTGGACAACCCTGTGTCCCGTTTGTCTGCAGGCACCTGTTAAAACAGAAAACAGTCAATAATCAACTCACGAGCAATGTCTTCAAAAAAAAAAAAATGCAGAAAACTGTCAAATGTACAAAAATATTAAACATTCATGCCTTTTCACAGGTGCCTAGCATGAGTGCAGGGCCACTTACTTGAGGTGGAAAATGTGGGAGCAGGGCAAGGCCTGCAGCTGCTGGTTCTTCTCCCCAATGGACTCTCCACACATGCCGCAGTAGAGCTCCAGCTCCTCTACACACTGCAGGAACTTCACCACCTGCTCCCTCAGCTCTTCCTGCTGCTCCCTGCTGCGGTAGATGGCCTCCGTCAGGCAGTGCACCTTTAGGGAACACAGCTGTGGAAGAGCCCATGACCAGCAACATGTGGAGATGGGTTATGACTTTAGCGGTTGAAAGAAAACATTTATAATGTAGCTGAGTGAAAAGGTTGTGAAAGGAGATGGACATTACACACCTTATTTCCTATTTCCTCTGCAAGTTCATTTGCTCGCTGAAAAGAGTCTAGTGCCTAAAAGAGAGTTAAAAATAGGTAATTATTATGATCAATCAGACATTTAATAAAAATGACAAACTAACCTGAACGTGATTTCATATATTTAACGTAGACAAAAACATAGAACAATACAATTCTCATGTCTTAAAGTGTTTTCTGTGCAGCTGTAAAAATATATGCGGATTAATTCTTAACCTTGTCATGCTCCTTCTGCAGCAGCCAACACTTCCCCACTCCCAAGTAGATGGATGCTTGTCCTAAGCGATTGCCAATCTCTGTCATTATACACATTGAAGACTCATAGCGAGGGAATGCTTTCTGGACAGGTGAGAGAACAGCAATGAAATAATCAACCTTAAATTCTTAAGCATAGTGCAGTGATTCTTAAAAGGTTCTGGATATCTCAGTAATTAGAAAAGCTTTGGAAGAGACCAGCATTGGAGGAAATAAAATCAGGTGAACAATAAATGCAAATATTCATGTGTTGATGCCGAAAATTGTTTTGATGCTCCGATGTCATGCTTCCAATTCATAATAATTTAGGAAAGTGAAGAGCTGAAGCTCACTTACGTCAACATCATTTCGGCAACGATGAATATCAGCGAAGTTCAGAAGACACATGGCCTGCAGAGGACGATCTCCATGCTGGAGTGCAATCTTCATTGATTCCTGTAAGTAATGGGGGTCTAGATAAAATGACTTTTCTCTTAAATTGATAAGAGTCTTAAAATAATAGAGTGGTGAAAAATCTAGTTTACACAGTTTTCCCTGTTCTCTAAATGTAGGAGACAAATTTAGTGTTGGAAGTTTGCTCTGTGTTTTTGCACTGGACTAATGACTAGTGCAAGATTAATGCAGCTAACAAGTAGCATCACACACTTATCTCAGACCACACAAGTAATCTCAAATAGACTTGCTTATGCGGTTTATCTATAAAAATGGACCAGTGTATAGATTAAATTCAGGGTTAAAGACTTACTACTACTAGTGTTACTACTACTGTTTCAGTTATGTGACATGCTTTGGTCCACTTTTATAGATGTCATACACTGTCAGAAATCACATAAGCAAGTTCATAAAAGATTACTTAACTATTACACATAATGAGTGATGATTTAGGCATGCAGTTTCAGGTGGGTATAAGGTATTAATCTTATAGCTCCAGCACAAAACTAGAAAAGCAAAATTGAGACACTAACCATGTCTTGGCTGATGGGCTACACCTATGGTACCCCTACATCTGGGGTAAAAATTGTGTAAATTAGACATTTTTGCCAAACTACTCTTAAAATACGTGTAAGCACATTGCATAAAAGCATTCCATATTTTTTAGAAACCTTCAGAAGTTCACTCCCCCCTGCCACTTGCATTAAAGCTGAAATTTAATCCCTCTTGTAACACAGCTATAAATGAGGAATGCCCCCACTCTTGTCATCTGTGACCCTAGCAGCGCTGCATTGTGACTCTCACGGTCCAGAGCGATGACTCTCTGCTACACTGCTCTTATGGTCATTAGAGAGGGGCTGAGAGCTAAGCTCTTCATTATCACTCCTCTCAGACGGCACCTCAGCGCTGTAGAGAGCCCTTTGCTGACGTATTTTTATCAGCCATAATAAAGGGGGTGGGTCTGGTTTGGGCTCGGGAGGTGGGGGAAGGATTTGGCACTAGTCCCACAAACAGCTGCACCTGTCAGTTGTTGGTCCTTGCTCACACACAACCACATAGAGTTACATAGGGTCTGAGGCCAGGGTTGTGCCAAGGGGACTGATAAATATGATCAACATATGGCAGCTAGTGGGATTAGGGTGTTGGAACTCATAAACGCTCAGGTGACCACTGATGCAAGCTGTGGTATGTTTACAGTGTTTGCCAATGTCTGTATGCAAAGGTTTAAGTTACTACTAGATAACTATATTGAGATTGTCTGTACTGTCGTCTGATCTGTTGCTACCGGTATGTTGCGTCACTGCTGTGAAGGGATGTATAGTAGATACTGACAGCACTCCTAAAATTACTTCAGTGTCTTACCTTGATTAAACTGCCTTTGAGGCTGTGCTTAAGGCTTTAGTGATTAGTTGTCACAGTCAATTAGGTATCAGTGCCATCAATTAAGGAATAAAGACAGACTTTCATTGAGCTGTTTACTTAAAAACTTCGGATCTGAATGATTAACGGGAAAATAAACAATTGTTTGCCCCATGCTGTTGGTTAAAAACCTTAATTTAATTTTATGTCAAACAATAACAGTTCCTATTTAAATAGGCTGGTTTTACAAGGAAGTTGCGAAACATTTTTAAATCGTATGCATGAGGGTGCAACAGGCAATTGGTTCCGCTAGATAGGCCTACTGTAGGTCAACATATCGGTATGTTTCACGGTCCATACAAGGCACACTTTTCAACATTTTGTTGCATTAATTCAGCCAATCAACTTTTAGATCTGGAAGTTTCTGACAGTTTGATGGGTCGCGTCCTTGATTTTAAGCTTCTCAGTTAATAAATTGATTGCCAAATATTGACGGATGGTTATTGATCAAAATAATTTATCAAAAATTTACGTTCAAAAACAAAATCACTCTGAAATACACTGCAAAAAATATTGGCGACTGTATGGCTTCTACTGCTTCATTCTTTACCATAAAGATATTGTTTGTTGAACAGAGAAAAGTTTGAGTGACGGTAGCACTGTGGAAATAGGCATAATAATTAGATTAGTCTGTTAATCGAATGATAGTTGTTAGATTATTCGATTACAGAAATAACTGTTAATTAAAAAAAACTTGGTGGTCTTCCTCCAGTCCCCTACTGTTGTGTACCTCGCAGCATTCCATGGCGTCTGGCAGTCGATCCAGTTTCCTGTAGGCTACGGACATGTGGTACTGGCTCATGGCACGGTACTTCAGGCTCCACCCCTTTCCATAGTCATTCACAAGCTCCGCAGCTTTGCATGGAAAGAACAGGGCCTTTTCGTAATCCTGAAAAAGTATAAGGCATTCATATGTTTATTAAAGTGTAATATGACATATTATGAGACATGATGATCATTCTCTTTGACAGATAATTGAATGAGATCATTTAAGTTTGTAAATTAATTGAATTATTTAGAAGTGGATTTTATTTATTATGTTTTTGACTTTTGACATCAACCAATTACACTGAAATACCATCATCAGTGAAAAGTGAAAATCTCAAACGTACAGCTGTTTCTTAAGTCTATATTTGTACTGCACAGTTTTTTTTTCTTCTTGCATCAGAGTTTCAGTGGTTAATGAACAGAATCAGGTGTGTACAGCAGGAGAAGGACTACAGCGCAATGCAGATGGACATACAGAACCAGAGCAGGGAAATACTGTACAAGGGTGTTAAAAATGGACAGGGACAGCGCATTTTCCATATTCTGAAACCTAGTGGATGCGACATATGAGTACATTCTCCACATGCCATTTTGTCACACACTCATTACAGTAGACCATTCTGGGGATACAGGGGATTATACACTACAAATCTCCGGTGTCAAGGTGAGTACAAAAGCCTATATTGGGACCGGCCTGCTCTGCCTGGCTTGCCTGCTGATACACTGCATCTTACATGTCGGCAGTTTGTTATGGCCATGCAATCTGTGGTGCCTACTTTAACTGTGAATTACTGCTGCAAAATGACTGCAGCCTAGAAGGATGTGCATGAGAGAAGGCGAGTGCAAAACATTTTTAAAGAGTACACAATTATGGCACCAGTCCTTTACCTAGTATCAGCCATACTAAACCAGATATTGGTTGAAAAAAGAAAGAATCTGATTCAATTCAGCAACAAGTCTAGGCTTGATATTTCATTTTGCATGGGTATGTATTGCAGTTATTTTGTTTTATGTATTGGACTTGCACTGTGAGATGATAATTTAAAAAGCTGCAGTTTATTAAATATTGTCCTGTGAGGTAGTACAATAAATCTGAGCATGGTACTTTTAGATGACCACCTTAAATGAAGTGCTTCAATTAAAAAAAATAGCTGATTTTAAAGCTCAGTATTACAGTTTTTAAAGAAAAATGTATACTTCTTTGAATAGGAATTGGAAGTGACGTTGTGCTATCTCTGTAACTTACACAAGTTATGAACAAAGCCATTCATGAGCAGTTCTTTTCACATGTGAACCAAAAATATACATTAGAAAAGAGCAGGAGATGAACTGTTTCCACATTCCAATAGAAAGCCCTCATGGATCTTTGAGAACAGTACCTTTAACTGAATGTAGAAGTTGCCCAAGCTGCAGCACACCCTGCACTCCAGCATCTTGTCGTCATTGTTGTGTGCATACCTCAGGGCCTTCTCATAACTCTCCAGAGCTTTCTGGAAGACGCTGAGGCCTAGGAAGGCGTTGCCCATGCTCAGACACACCTGGCCATTGAGCTGCAGGCTCACTGTGGTGCCCTGCATGTTTAAGCAGGTCTTGCAGTAGGAAATGGTCTTCTGGAAGTCGCAGAGCTTCTCGTTGCTGCGGGCCAGGTTCAGGTACCCTTCCGTTAGGTAGTCTGGATCCTCCATCTCTCGCGCTGTGTCGATTTGAGCTAGGGCGTACTGATGTAGTGGATGTATGTTTGTGGAGGGGAAGATGACAGAACAACAATGTATAAATTACTTTGTCATTGAACTGATCACAGTGAAGGTTTAGGACAGCAGTGTATGTCCAGGCATTTTATGTGCAGTTGCACCAGCGGGATATTCTTATGCAAGCTCTAGTATTATTTATATACGGTATCTGTGAGCCAACATTGAATCCTTTCATGCCATATGCTACTGTTTCCCTGGAGACTAGACTCCATCATCCAAATTCTTCTCTTGTTGACCCTGATATGATGAAAGGGTCAATGTACTGCTAATCTGTAATGAAATACACGTACCATAGTTTCTTGTTTTTTTTTGGGGGGGGGTTATGAAGCTTCTCAGAAACACTTGCTTTTTCCATCCTTATGAATGCAGATGTATGCTCAGGGGGGAATTGATCCTACTCTTATTCTGGAGCTCTTGAGAAATATGGGTCCAGTGCTACTTGCAAGTCGTCTTTAATGCTTTGCATTGTGTATGTATTATGTAAAATGTAAATTTATATGTAACAAATGTATTTTGTTAGCCAATTTAAAATAGTCTCACATAACTAAAATTTTCATTTTCAGAGTGAGTCAACACACTCTTCAATAGGATTAGAACATTACAATTTCCAAATTAATTAATGCACAAGTTTGTGATTTTATTCAGTTGCCAAATGATTTTACACAGTTGAGAAAATTTACTACTTTACTCTCTGTCAATTGGCGTCTTGCAAGAGCATCTTTTTCTGCTTTTATAGATGGTATAGAAAGTTAGAAAAGTATGAACACAATTTCTACTGCTCTGTTCAACACTGACAACTACTCTGTTTGTGTTGTTTAAGTGTATTAACTTGCTAATGAAGTCTTCACTAAACATAGCAAAGCATGTTTCTGTGTGAGTAAGAAGCTTTATGTCAACAAGCTGCACTGAGCTGAGGATCATATAGCTCAGGTCTCTCTTTACTCCTTTCCTACGGAAGCCACAAATTAAAAATGGCTCTGCATGCTTTACATGAGCAACATATCAAAATGTTATTAAACATTTAAGCATTCTCATTTTTAAATTTCAGATTAAATAGTAGTAATGTAATATTTGAACAAAACCTAATAAATAAACGGTAGTCAGATATGAATTGGCAAATCATATTTTTAAATGATTTTGGAAGGGTTTGTGGGTATAATTTTAATTTCAACATTATACGACATTGCATGAGGTCAAATTTAATCTGGACCATAGATATCTTGATGGTATATTAAATAATTTATTCATCCATTAAATCTCTTTTCAAAAATCTTAGGTTTGAGCTTGTCAAGTTTTGTGACAAAGTTTTGCTTTAAGTCAAACTCATATGTCATACTAATAAAATATCTTAAAATATAAATTTCCAGCAGATTTATACAAAACAGCTTAAAAAAACAGCAAAAAAATTAAAGCTGAGCTTACCAATAATATTCTTGCTGGAAAATAATGTGTTAAGATTTTATTAACCTACCTTTAGCATCTCTTTGTATTTCCCCATCTCTGAGTGTGCTGTAATCAGGCAACCTAAAGCCCTGAACTTCCCCCCAGGATCAGACGTCTTCTCCAGCACCTTCATCCAGACATGTAGAGCTTTCCCTGTCTCATTGGACTGGTAAAGCTTCAACCCTTTCTCGATCTGCTGCTTTGTTTGGTCCTGGCCCATCTCTGTGACAATGTGCCTCATAAAAATAATCATCCACCTGGCTCTTCGGCCTTCAGAAGAAGCCCACGCATACAATCCCTTTCCTTGTACTGTTTAGACAAAGGAGGAGCAGTTGAAAGGAGGGCGATCTACACCAGGCCTCCGCACCCACCAGCCTCTTTAATCCACCGCTTTCAGCTTTGGGGTGCAGAGAGATGAGGGAGAAACTGGATCCACTGCATACGAGAGCCCCAGAGCTAAGATCCCTCTTGCTCATCACCATTGGGAAATTTGAAGGAACTACAAGAAAGTCATCCGCGCTTCCTAGATTGAACACCAGTCCTGGATCTTCTCAAACGGCCGCCACAGAAGCCTTAGGTGATCTTAGCGACATTTGAAGACACAGAAGGAATAAGTCCCAATCCAAGGTGCTAGCAGTGATCTCCCAGAATATCTACACCCTCCACACCCCAGTGGGAGGAATTCTGTGTCCGCTGGCCCCCTCCCTTCCTTCACCTCTACCCTCCCTCCCTCTCTGCTGCTGGCGCTGTAGCAGATGGCCTTGTCAGTCTGGACCATGTGTCCCTGCTGGAATCCAGCTTCAGTCTCTGAAAAGACCCAAGGTCACAAAAGACGCCTGCCCGCCTCTCCTCCCACCTCGAATTCCACCCTTTACCTTCTTACCCAAACGCTTTCATCAAATGTTAACACCACAAGTGCCACTAGTACACAAAAACACCACCACAAGTGTGTCTAGAGCCTTTTGCAAGAATCTGAGCTCAGCAAGCAGGCTAAAAACAGACAGTTATTTCACAACATCGAAAGAGAGTAAGTCAAATACTCCTTACACTGGCTGGCAAGTTCCTGTGGGTGGGCCTTGTTAAGGCGCATATGTGCCGTCCCCCTTAGCCCCCTGCTTTGGTGTCAGCAACTGATGCTTAGAATAGTTCACAAAGTCGGACATGGTATTTGTCTTGAGTTACAGTATCACTGCTTCTTGAAACACATCAATAGGATCGAATCGTCAAACTCTTAGCTGAAGCTAACTTTCTTTACCCCCCCCCTTCCTTATCCCTCTTCAGCCTGCCTCAAGGATACAAATAGGCACTTTTATCGCCTTGTCATTCACAAGATAGGTTACCTTTCCCAAGATAAATCTCTGGAAGTTGTACGTCACGTCTTTGTCATAACACAATTCCTGGATGGTTGGCGCACAAGACTTTCATTGCATTTGGAAGTTTTCTTGAACAACTTAATTTAAGAAAAAAGCACTGGAACATCCCCCTTCAAACTGCCAGCTTTGAACACAGCGATTTTGGAGAATGCACATATGAGTGTATCGTTTTTAGGTATAATCAGTGTGAGATTTTCTTTAAGACTAGAGAACCACACAATGCAGCATATGACATACATGCAATTCTTTTTGACTGCCAGTGTACTTGAGCTCACATGAGGTCAGATTTAAAAAAAAAAACTTGATATTAAAAGTATTCATAAAAAACTTGTAGATATTGCAGTAAATAAGAGTAAATATGCTAGCTTGACTGGAACATTAAATAGTGAAAGCTCGCTGAGATTTGGGAGATGAAGAAATGCCATAGTGGCTGGGGAAAACACAAAAGACACTTTCTATTCAAGTAGCTTGTCACGCTACCTGACCAACAAGACAAAAGTGTTTATGATAAGCAAAACCTACAAAACCTGTAGTAGTACACAGGACTGCACAGGACCACAGACCAACTGAATGATGAAGATGCAAACAGTGCTTCTTCAGTCTCTGTGACTTACCAGCCAATTGGACAGCAGCAGTGTGAATAGCAGTTTTGAGTGTGTTTAAGATGTTCAAAAATGATGTTTGAATGCTTAAGATGCACCCATCAAGACTATTTGACAGTATAACTGGTCCCCGGTACCCAGTGACAAATTGAAACACACAAAAAGAATTAATATTTCACATTTAATGCAAATGTTGGCCAAAAGAGTACATTATGGAATGAAAGTCATAAAAAGTCTGTGGCTTTAAAAGCCTTTGCATGAGTATCAGTTTTATCAGCAAAAGTCTTCACCACCAGAGTCACTGAGGATATGCACATCACAGAAAACACAGAACTTGTCAATACTATGTAGACCTTCTTAGTGACGGCATTGTGAAGATTTTTTTTTGCCCTGATATTTATTTAAATCCTCATGTTATCTCATTCTTTTGATGTGAAACCCTTATTTGCTACATCTGGTAGGAAATTCGTACTTGTTCATATTTTAGACTATAGAACTCAATAACTAGAGTAGCTACCTCATATTTATTATTGTTCCGCCCATTATTCCGCTATTATCAGTTCAGCTGTGGTGTTGTGTGACCATAACAACACTGTCATTTGCACAAAAAAAAACTTTGGCATATGATATAATTACTATGTCAAATCTATCCATGTTATAAGGCATACTAATCTGAATAAAAGCATTGCCCATATTTACCATACTTTTCAGAGTAAGAGTACTGATCTAGAATTAGTTTTTGGACTGTTACATCCTAACAGATAAAATTTCTGGAGATGGCATACTAGTAGTGATGGGTATCGGGCTGATTTCAGCAGAAAATGCTGGATTGGACATCAGAGGGGGAGAAAAGAAAGAATAAAACCTGATTTAATCCTGTAACAAATCTATCATTAAATAGCATACATTCACATTGTGTGATGTGATGTTAACTGTGTATTTCTTCATGTGGGGAAAAAAATAGAGCGTTTGAGTAGTTTGAGCACGGTAGCCTACCTTTAGACATTATATAGATGTCATCTTAAATGATCCGCTTCTCTTAAAAGTACCTCATTTTGAAGTTTAGTAGAATCATTGTCTCAGTATTAGTGAATATTCAGTTTCAATATCAGTGTTGGTGGAAAAGAAAACGTGGTATCGTGCCAAAATGATCTCAATTATAGCACAACATTAGTACTCTTAAACCAAAATGGTTTAATAAATATGAACCATCTTAAGCTGAAAATAATGTGCATTCTTAAGCAAGTCAGTGAAACAGTCAAGAGTCTAACTGTACTCACAACCTTACTGTCTGAAGCTGACAGTAGATGCTATTGTCAAGAAAACAAAATAACGAAACTTGTTTATACTGCTTGCAACGTAGTCTCTTGGAAATTCGACACTAAATGGCTGGTTTAAATGCCAGGAAAGTGTCACTTCATTTGATAATTCAAATTTCACATGGCTTTCACTGACACTGCACTGTGTGCCTTGGTATAACACATTGCACAACAGGATAAAGCTTGTAACACAAAAGCAAAAGAACAAAACCACTGCCTTGCGCTAATGCTTTTCCAACTACAATCACTATTCACCATCACTGGAAACTGTAGGCTTAACGTTCACATGGTCCTTTATGATTATGTCCAAAGTCTCGCTGTAAACACACACACACACACACACACATCTTGTAAGCCACTTATCCTTCTGGGTCGTGGGGAGAGCTGGAGCCTATCCCAGTAGTCACTGGGCGGAGGGCAGGATACACCCTGGACAGGTCGCCAGTCCATCGCAGGGCAGACAGACACTGTAAACATTTAGCATTTAAACATCAGGCCAAGACAAACTGCCAGTTCGTTAAGAGTATTTTGATTCCCTTGATCACAGACACCACAGAAGTGGCGGGGTTCAGCTTTAACGTGTTAGCGTCACCCTTCTTACACTTGTCCCTAAACACGTAAATGCAGCCGTTGCAGCTAGCGACCTTCCACAGCGAAGGCACACAGCTCCACACCTCTGGGAAGCGCAGGCGAGTGAAGCTATCCAGCAACGGGTTGTAGCACACCAGAGAGTCGCCCTCAGCCACCACGAAGATCAAGTCTTTATGTGCAGTGGCATGCATGCAGCCAGCGAAGGGCAGCATATATGGCTTGGTCTGGCACTTCTGTGTGGTCGTGTCAAAACACTGAATGAGGCGTGATGGTTTGGTGAAGAAGTCCATGTCATTCTCTTCCCCACCTAGCAGATAGATAATCCCACCTAGGTTGACCCCAGCAGCACCTGACACAGCCGTGTCCAGCTGACTGGTCTCAGTCCACATGTTATCCCGCACCGTGTAGTAGATAACAGCGTTGGACAGTGTGTCCTGCAGAGTCTTGCCCCCTAACGAGTAGATAGCATCCTCACTGGCCACAGAGACAAGTGTGTGGTGGAGGCGGTCACGAGGTAGCGGAGCACATCGCTCCCAGTCCATGGTGTGCATGTTGCACTTCCACATGCGGCGCGGGATGGAGCCGCCGACCACATACAGGTCACCACCATGCTTACAGGCTGCCGTGATCTGGTGGCACAGGCTGTTCTGGCCGCTCACGCTAATGGCGTCGTCCTCGTCACAGTGCAACGACACGGCCAGTGAGTGTGTGCGCGTGTCCTCCTTGCCAATCAGGTAAATGTGCACATTCTCACCAATCTCCTGGACAGAAAAGAGAAAATAGATGAAAAAGCTAAACATCTGCACTTTATAAAAGACATCTGTGTGACGCAAAGGTCCTGATTACATTTTACTTAGGCAAATCATGTACTGAACCCACCTTGAGGCTATCTGACAGCATATCTGAGAACTCCTCTCGCTCTACTTTGTTGTGGTTTATCCAAGACTCTATTGCTGCAGTTGGATTTTGAGAGCTTGGAACACCATCTAAGACAGCATAGTCACATTTAAGCCATTCAACAGAGAATAAATGTATCATTATTCTACAAATATAACCCCAAATCATAGACAGACATCACAGAGCAACATTACATTGAGGACAAATAAAGTAAAAGTCTGACTAATACAATCCCCCAACATTGTACTCCAGTTTTAGATTACTTGGTTTTTACATGTCCCTGTTTGTTTTGGTGTAATTCAGAACCTACAATAAATACCTCACTTCAAAAAGAAAGCTATTGTTTCTTTTAGCACAGCTGCGTGGGAGCATCACCAACATGGAAACCAAATGGAAAGATATCTCCTTGAAAACTTTCATCAGTAACAGGTATTTTGGTCTGTCTACAGCAGGGGTGTCCAAAGCTTTGGACTCAGGGGTGGTCCAAGGGCTGTTTTTTCCTAGGTTGTGTGTATATCCTTTCAATACTGTAGTGGTTCCCTGCCTTCTTTTAAATCCAGGGAAAATATATTTTTAACTGCAGTGCTCTCTAAATCCTCTGTCTCTTTTCCACCAACACCCCCCGTTATGCTGTATTAGCTTGTAAGTGTTAACTACAAGATTTGTCAAATCTGAAACATGTATGTAAATGAATATTAATATAGAAAAATGTGTTCTATCATTAACGAGAGAGAAAGGCAATTTCCTGGTGGACCAAATCGAACATCCTTGCGGGGAACTTAGGGACAGCACGAGTCTACAGCCTTTGACGCCAACAACCCACCTTTGATGATGTCCATGAGGAGACGTAAAGGCAAGTTGAGGAATTCCTCTGTCTGGTGCAGCTGCACCAGGTGAATCTTAGCACAGTGCTTCGCTGCCGTATACAGCTCCTGATCACTGTGTCTGTCCGCCAGCCACATCACCTGAAAGAGATGACTGAGTCAGCCACAGCCCAGCGTCCAGGAACAAGCCAGCCCCGCCTGTACTTCTGCCAGTTACTCACCTGCAGGCAGTTCTTGACCTCCACAGTTCGTGAGAGGAAGCGGGAGCACTCTTCGAAGAGGGCTGTCAGCTGGTACATGTCGGCCATCTCGTAGGTGTCCTGCAGGTCCTCCACCTGCAGCTTGATGGTGCCATGGTAGATGTAGTCCACGAGCAGTTGGAAGACGGGCGCGCTCACGTCCTTCAGCTGGATGTGTCGATCGTGGGCCTCTCGGAGATTGGAGGTGAACATGGACCTGAAGAAGCTGCTCTGGGCCGACAGCACCAGACGGTGCAGCTGGAACTCCTTGCCCTCCACCGTTATGGTGACGTCCGCGAACAGGCCGTCCTCCAGGCACAGGTCCATGATGCTCTTCACCACGCGGCTCGAGTGGGAGCGGTCGGTGAACGTGTAGCCCTGAAAGTAGTTCTCCTCTCCGGACGAGCCTCCCACGCTGAGGCCCCCATCCTCACCGGACTCCATGGCATCTGCTGGGCGAGGCCAACGTCTCCTCACTCCGGCCGAAACGTTTTAAAACCTGTGAACAACACAAACGCGCTGCTCTGACGGCGGGAAACGGCGATCTCGGGCTCTGAGACCGTGTAGCTCCGTCACACGCAGATTAGCCGACAGTACGTTGAAGTTACTAGCTAGCTTCTCTGCCACACTGTCAGTATAGTTATCATCTTCCACGACAATAACGAACCGGAAAAAAACAACACTCGCTGCTTTTCTACCTCGTTAACTTCCGAAATGTTTGCTGGCTTAAATAAGCAACTGTGTCATGTTTACTTGCCCCGCTGTTTAGCCTCCTCGCTATCGGTAGTAACGTTAACCTCAGCTGCAACACAGTTTATCGGCACTCTCTGCAATTCTGTTGGCTTAGGAACACGCAAAATAGACAAGCTGTCGTCTCTTAGGTATATAATGTTCCAGTGTACCTGCTGGTTTCGGGGCTTTCAGCTGAAACTGATACAGCTTTCATATGAAACGTGTTTTGTTTTGCCACAGCAGAGGCGGCTGCTGGATGTTGATGTAAGCGCTGGGAAGTGAATGCACCGTGTGTGTGTGTGGGTCGCTACTGACACCATGCGGTGGAGGTCTGCCGTTGCATGTAGTGCGAGCAGCTTCAGCTTCAACTAATAGTCAAATTACAAATCATAAGATTATTTACGTTCATTTTACTGCAAGACACTCGTGCCCGAAGATATCACAAACCACACGGAATCACGATAAACACATATAATTCGACATAAATTTAAGCATGTGAGATGTTTCTTTCAGGGTCGTAGCTGCACTTTTAGGCATTAGTGGGCCCGGTGAGACCCGGGGAATTAGCTAGAAAAAACCCTAAATAACAGCGTTACTGAACTAAAATGGCATAAAAAGTGATTCTTTGTTTTTTTTTCTCTGTACATAATTAAATAGATTAAATCTGTCACATGAATAAAATGTTACATCAACACACCTGTTATCAAAAGTAAACTAAAAGACAGAGGACCAAGCACACATTTACTGGTCTGTTTGGTCAAAATACCCTATTTATCAAATGCAGCGTCATCAGACCTTCATTACCAGTTGGTAACTACTCTGAGGGCAGATTTTCAGCAAAAAGAGTAACTGAAGCTTTGTTGATGATGGCTGACTGTCACTTTCCATAACTGGGGTGGCCAGGCTTCATTCCCGGGTGGCACTGGCCACTTTTGGCCACCTCTTCGCCTCTGCTTCCGTTTTTTGAGCTGGGAAGAGTGCTGGCCTGAACACGTATTTTCCACAGGTGGAAGAATGCGGAGGAGAAACAGAGCAACTAAGGCAGAGACACACTCTGTTCTGTGGACCGAATGATATCTAGCTAAAAGTCCCTTCGCTTTTGGCCAGCTGTCGAAATCACGCGGACCTTTTTCGGATTTTGTGGCAGTGTCGACAAAAATGCTGCTTTTTAAATATGCGTGGGTTCTTTTGTGTCTTGTGGCTTTCAGGGACTTTTGGCACATCTCAGGTAAACTCTTCTCTTGCTTGAGGTTTTGCCGAAATTGCATTATTATTTTTTAAGCAGATGAGCGAGCTAAATGATGGTATTCTTGCATTTTACGCGGGTTACACATAGCTGAAGAAGAACTGTAATGTGGAATACGTTACAAACCTTGCATAGTGTATAAGAAAGAGTATTACTGCGCGTTATACTTAGTTCACCGATCGGTTTTTAACGAATGAGCTGTTTTTATCAAGCAGAATGTGCGTGTAGACCACGGAATTCCTGAGATTCCACAGTTATCTGCACTCTGTTAGTTTGCCCGTTTTTCATTAGAAGCCTCAGACTCTTAAATTACTGTCTAGATCTCAGACGGTGTTAAAGACTGGGCAGATCCTTTAACTGTCGAGGTTGATTTAGGTTAAATTAACCTGACATTAACGTTTGCCTTGATTTGTGTGCAGATGTATCAGCTGTTCTACATGGAGGCCTGTCACGCCCAGATTTCATCAGAACTGTCAGTGAGGCCAACATGATGTTTGAGGCAGGACACTTTATTACTCTACCTTGCAGAGTTTTTTTATTTAATTTCTTTATTTTATGGAGTTGGAGTGCTCATATCTCCCAATATAATTTCCACAATACACACATGTAGCCTAGAATTCTATAATTTACTCAAACAGAAAGACTAAACAGGCAACTCAGACACCCTGCACTCCATAAGCTGAAATACTGAAAATGTTTGTGGCAACATAAAGAAGCACTAGTAGATAAGAGACAAAAGGTAACAACATCTCTCTGTCCATCCTAGTTCTTACTGAGTGGTCTTGTGATCGATGTGGACAACAACATTGCCATGAGGGACCAAGAAATGGCCTCCATGAGGCAGGGCCGAGCTTTCTTAGCCCTTATAAATGATAACATTCCCAAGACTGTGCCAGCAATGGAGGAGCTACTGATCGCTCTGGAAGATGAAGAGAAGTCCTTCAGTCAGTCCAATTTTGAGACCCTCATCCTGGGAATCATCTATTCGGCCTACCAGGTCCACAAACAAGAGGTTGAGAGGCAGGAAGTTCAGCAGAAAGCTTGGGCAGGTGTCCTTGGCCGCCTGGCAAATGTTACTTTTGTTCAGCTACGCAGCTATTAAACTGTGCCACAAATACAGAAAGAAATTGCAGCTTCCAGGCTATGTTTTCAGTCCTGACAGACACCTCCCACTAACAACAGTATATATATTACTGTCAAGGTGTATTTTACAGGAGTTTGTATAAATGCGTATTCTCCTCCACATCTCATCTACTTTGTGTTCTAGTGCTTGCATGTCCAGTTTCTGTGTTTTATGTTTCCTGCTTTTTTCTGATGCTGAAAAATGAAGTACTTGTAATTAATGGCCGTTTTGACTGGAAATAAAAAAACACAAATTTCGCACAGTACTATATCGTCTTTATTCTAAAATAACTGCCTGTATACTAAAGAAAATGATTCCAGGTCTCTTTTCATGTAAAAAAGTACAAAGTTTATTATATTCAAAGTGTAAAATGTACAATGTTTAATATGAACAGGAACAAAATGTTAAACTTGGAAAACTTTTTTTTCACGTACAAAACAAATGTTGCCGTATAAGATTTGTAACACTGCTTTACAGTAAAATGATCATTGTTAATACAGTAGCTGTGGCCATCTATGGCTTCTTGTTTTTTTGCGTTTTACATTGAGTCTTGCTTTTGGTCCTTGACTTGGTCTCGGTTGATTCCAGTTTTTTCTTTAGCTTGGTACTTTCTGCAGTTCCTCTTCTTTCACTGCGGGGCCGCAGTGGATTGCCTCGTTGCGCTCTGGAGCTTCCTGCTCTCCCTCCAGCCTCTGTATCTTTCTCACTCTGTCTTCCAGGCATATGGCTCACTGTATCATCTCGCCTCCATATCAAAATATTATAGCCTGCAAATGAAAGTCAAGTCTTCTCAGAAGGGAAGTGCACACTTGAATTAATGTGAACTCATCCTGATGTTCCAGTAGATTCAATAATTACAGGAGTGAAATTGATCACTTACCCATTCCAGATGCCAACACATCCCCTACTGGGCTGAATTTGTTGAGCTAAAATATAAGACAGTACAGAAATTTGATTTGATCACAATAATAAACATTATGTTATGTGGAAATGGTTATTTTTGGCTCTGTGAATTGGGGTGACGTAGTGGTGCAAGTATGGATATGAGATTAGATTTGAGAACCATGAGCCCACAGCTATTTTATAACAATTTTACTGGAGAAAAAGTAAAAGGACACTTACAGATACAATACCATGGGTATTGGGGTCTCTCAGCTGGTGAACAAGTCTGCCAGTGTTAGCATCAAAGACATCAATAGTTCTCTCATCATCAGGAAAGACACGGTCATCTGGATAGCGGCCAGCCACGATCAGGTCATATATGGGATGCCAGGTTGCCTAAAGTAAAAAGGACATCAAAACTATCCTCATGGATCCTGCCAGTTTAAAAGTGAACTGTGCCAGCAAAACCACCAACCCAACTGGTAACTTCATAGAACAACCTGACAGAAAGGAAAAAGATAAAAGTACAAGCAGCTGATGCTGCTGGGTTCCTACCTTGATTGGTGTCAGGTGCTGGAATTGCCGGTGCGGATGTACAATAACCTGAGCTGGCTTGGACCAATCACAAGAAGAATATATCCTGATTTCATTCATTTGGTCAGTGGTGAGAAGCTTGGTGCTATCCGTGGGGTTGAAATAGGCTATGTTAAGACAATTGAAAAGAGGAGAATATGACGTGATGTACATAAAAGCTACAGGGCATTCATTAATTTTCTTAAATAAATGCTTGGGCAGATGTCCACCTACCAGAATTAACTGGTTTCTCGTGTACCATTTCATGCAAGAAGCTGCTTTTGTCCTTAATGTTCCTGAGGTCCCACAGCTTGACAGTGCTGTCTACAGATGCTGTCGCCATCAGCCAGTCACAGCGCACGTTGAATTCTGCATGGGTCACTTTGCCCTTGTGCAGCTTCTCACTGAAAATCTACATTGTGTAGGGAAGAACATACATTATAAGGACAATCTGAGGAACATTCAAAACGTGTCCCTGCTCTGACATTCAAGAGTGAGTTTTAAATATGTGCTTACACATGCTTATTACTTACCTCTTTTCCATCAAGTCCAAGCAGATGCAGTCTTCCTCCATTGTCCCCGGTGACAAGCATCTGGCGACTCACTGACACATCCACGCAGCAGTACCAGTAACTGTAGAAAAGGTCAGAGATTTGAAAGCTCTACAAATTTGACAGATTTGAATGCATGTTTTACATGGATATCATAACAGGAAAAGCAAAAGAAAATTTGTTACATGTACTATAAATGAGCCCCATCAAGTGCGTTTTAAGTGGCTAAGGCATGCAAACAGTCAAACTATATGTTATCAGTTCATTTCTGGTAGGAAAACAGCAAAAAACCAAGTACCTGAAGTATGTCTGACATGAGAATACTTTTCTTTCGAGATGTTATTCTGGACCTTGCAGTGTTATGGTAGAATATGTAATGGCCAGTCAAAATACTTGATGACTAACAGAGACAGAATTTACAAGAACAGTCCTCAAGACACAGTGTACTTACTCCTACATCGTACAAACACAAGATGCCCCCAAACAAAACACAGCGAGTAAAGTCCTCACCAAAGACTGTGGTGCTCATGACTGCAGTCTGGGGTTCGAGACAGTGTCTCGCTTGGGAGACCTTCAAAGCTCTGTAAAGTTACAGTGCCATCACCAGAGGCCACGTAGACTTTGGATACATCTGTGGGGCAGTACTTCATCCCCCCAATAAAGTCACCAGCTCCCTTCTACGAGCAGATAAACACAACATAAAATAGCTCGGCCTCCAGTCTCTATTGACAGAGCTGTTCAGCTGTTCCAGACTGTTCTTTCAGTAATTATTTCAAAATCCAGCTGAGTGCCATTAACATCAAAGTGTATTTCCTTAAATCCACATGGATTATTATTTTAATTTTGATATTTTAGACATTCTGCGTATAAGAATAAGCTTAGAATTTTGCGTTGACATGAAAACGCGAACTATCAAGTGACAAACGAGTAACTACTAACAATCACGTAACTTGAGACTGAATATCAGACTTCTACACCAACCAGACAGCAGTCAACCAACTCCATACCAATCAGAAGAGATCCACCCAATTTGCCAACAGAATCTAGAAGCATCAAAACTTTATTACAGTTTATTTAATAAAAAAAAAACAAACAAACAAACAAAAACACACAGTTCCGGTATTTTTGGCAAAAAATGCCTAAGTGGAAATTTTCTGCCACCTTTTTATGGGCCAGTGGGAAGAAGACCATGGCCATGTGCCTCACAGAAATGTCACATGTGAATAAGCACATGTGGTTTATGGAAAACAAATTGTAAAAAAATGAAAGAAAAAAAAATTGTGGTTTTTGCACACCACTTCTGTAATATATGTTTCTTTAAGGGGTCAGTCTTACGAGTTGAGGAGATGAGGTGTCATGTGTGCAAGTTAATGTTGCTAATTGTACTAACACAACTTCAACTATATTGCATAGAGACCAAATGGCTGATCAGTTAAAGGGCCCATATCTAACATTTTTTGCATTTTTATTTTTCCACTTGTTTGTGTGTCATAATTCATTTTTACATGACCATCTTCTAAACTCTCTTCATCTCTTAGGACTAAACAGGTTGTTTGTGTTACTTTAAGGCTGATGTATGTAAATGGCCTCTGTTCTGACTGGCTGTCTTCTGTTGTGCCTCGTTTAAAACAGTCCAGGCTGAAACATTTCTCAGAATTTCTGCATTAATTGGCAGAGATAAACTTCTGTAAGCTGAACAGACATATGTATGTAAATGTGTTGTCTTTGTGACATCACTAAAAAAAGAATTCATAATGAGCTGTTTTTGCAGCTTAGTTTCCTTATATGGACTGTGCAGACTGGGGAATGAGTGGTACATTTCAAATCTTCAACAGTGTTTATACATAACACGACACGCTTTTATTTAAATAAAAACATTTTGAAAAACTAGGAACACTTGGCTTCCCAAGATTTAGGCCCTTTAACTGTTTGTTTGCCAGTTGTTTGTATTACTTAAACGTCTGAAAAAAGGTGAGCAGCCATAATGCTAATAAAGAAACTGGCTTACTCCCATGAGTCTGTCTGAGCAAAGACTCGGATCATCGATCCATTGAAATCCCATAGGGTGGTGGTACCTCCGACTGATGAGGTGAACAGCTGATTGGTATTGAATTGGTTAAACTTCATGCCTGTTACTGAGTCTCCTGCACCCATCTAGACAGAAAACAGAAAGGATTAAAAGTTTGACTCTTTTGAAAGGACACTTGAGCCAAAATGAAAAAAATTATTCATAACTACATACATATATTGTAAACATGCTGACTTGCCTCAACATGCTTACTGCTACATTATAGCCATGCAGCAGCTATCTCGAGAGTCATATTTTCCGATTTAGAGATTAGGAAAACCCCCTTCTGAACACGTCTGCTGACGGTGGGAGGAACTTTTGAAACACTACAAGCATACTGAGGGTTGGCTGTATGAATGTATGTATGTATGTATGTATGTATGTATTTATATGCTAGTTTTGGCCAGAATGCCTCTTTAAGGTCAAACATACCACTAGTTTTATTATGATATTTTAGAGATATCACTTTTTAAATTGCTATTTAATCTGAACTCGTCACCGCTGGATGTTGTGCTGGTCATTTGCTTAAAGGAACAGCTCATCTTATACTGTGGCTAACACAGAATCAAAGGTAGTAGCCACAGATTTGCATGACCTCATTTGCATGATGCAAACATGTGGCTACATTACATTTCACGTTTATTATTAGCAAAATGAACATTGTTTTTGAAACATTCTTTATGTAAAAGACTTTGCAAACATGATACGTTTTGATTTTGCAAACACATCCAGTCATTTTACCAAAACTGTTGTGAGTGGTAAGACATCTCTCTCACCCCTTGTATAAATGTTGTCTTGTTCAACACATCATAGTCCCACAGGATGATGTCTCCACCCTTGGAGCCCACTGCCAGAGTGCTGGGATGGCTGGGGTGCCACTCCAAACACGTGACCCTCCGGTCAAATGGGCTCGCTGTGCGGTGCAGTCTGTAGGAGTCCAGCGAGCGTATAAAAGGCTCTTGGAGGCACTTGAGAGATGAGAGTGAATATAACACATGAGAAAATTCAATAATACAGCTGGGCTCATACCCAATGGCAAAAAAGATTGTTGTCTCATTCACTTTTTCTGTACATATTTCCTATTTCTGCAGGAAAAATGAACCATTGTCCACTGGTCATTAGCTCATAACTTGAAGCTACATGTGTTTCATCTATATATAGATAAATAGATATATAGATAGACAGATCGATAGATAGATAGATAGATAGATAGATAAAGATATATGTAGGCATAGAAATTTCATGCAGCCCTGTGAAGCACACTGTCCAGTGGTTTTATGTGTGGTTACCTGTCGTAGATGAGAGTGGATGCTCTGTCCTAATGAGCTCTTGTAGATGTAGTGAGGTATGCTTATTTGGGTACATTTCTTCAGCCCTCCAGTCCACTTTACACTTGCCTGAATGTAGGTCTCTGCACAGAAACATTACTCCAAATTACTCCAAGCAGCTTTACACTTCACAAACTCCCGTAACAAGACTACTTAAAAACATGAAGGCTAAATGGAATTAAGACGACAGTGTGACCTCTAAACTTTCCACACCTGTTTTTGCTAACGTCTTTCCATCTTTCTTCGCCTTCAGCTTCTTAGACAGAGACTCCGAACAGTCTTCGTTCTGGCGTTTTCTGGCACCGCGGGGGATTTTCTGCTCCTCTTTCGGCTTCCCTCTCGCCATCTTACATCAAGTTTCTTTCTGAAACACGTCGATAAACCGAGCACTCTTCTCTCATTAAGGGTCTCAGCAGGCCTTGACACACACCAGCTTCAACTTCACCCACAGCCCAGACCGCACGACGTGCTAGTTACAGTGAAATGAGTTAGCAGCTCACTTAATGCTTATTTCTTACCTTGCAGGTGTCCGCGATGGAGAATGTTATAAACGGGGTATTTACATAAATTTGCACCTTTTCTTTCTTCTATTTACTTGAGCCCCTATGAAGAGCATGCAGTGGCTCACACGTGAGTGGGCGTGACGTAAGAGGCAGAATGTTTTGTAACACATATGTATGTTGCATATTACCAACACTAGATGGCGGTAATGTCGAAAGTCTGATATTATACAGCCACCAGTGGTCCTTTTTTCTCTTTCTGTTGCTTTTTATTTAAATATAGAATAATACAGATATTACAGTATATCAAAAAAGTTTTAAATAAAAGGTGTGGATGTCTATATTACTGTATAAGTAATGAACATTGTTTTTGAAACATTCTTTATGTAAAAGATTTTGCAAACATGATATGTTTTGATTTTGCAAACACGTCCAGTCGTTTTACCAAAACTGTTGTGAGTGGTAAGACATCTCTCTCACCCCTTGTATAAATGTTGTCTTGTTCAACAAATCATAGTCCCACAAGATGATGTCTCCACGTGATTGTCATTTTTACACTAGGATCATCACCTGTTTAAGCTCCTCCCCTCAACCAGAAACCTTTCTGCATGGATGTTTGTTGTACTCTATAAGTGTGGTAGGACTCAGGTATGGATGTCTGTTACTGTATAAGTGTGGTAGAACTCAGATATGGATATCTATTTTACTGTAAAAGTGTGGTAGAACTCATGAAATACTGTGTTACTGTATAAGTGTGGTAGAACCCATTGGTGTCTGTATTACTGTATAAGTGTGGTAGAACTCAGGTATGGGTGTCTATATTACTGTATAAGCATGGTAGAACTCAGGTATGGATGTCTATATTACTGTATAAGCGTGGTAGAACTCAGGTATGGATGTCTATATTACTGTATTAGTGTGGTAGAACTCATGAAATACTATGTTACTGTACAAGTGTGGTAGACCTCAGGTATGAATGTCTATATTATTGTATAAGTGTGGTACAACTCAGATGGCAATTGGACAGATATTTCTCCAGATTCACCCTGAAGACTGTTTTCACTCTATAAACATAAGTTTGTTCATCATAAGTGTTTTTGGATTACTGAGACACAGAAGTCGCTCCTATATTATTTCAATCATCTCTTTGGTAGCTGATATTTAGGGTGGTTTTGTAAGCTCACACTGAGAAATGTAAGCCTACTATAAATGTCCTGTATATAAAACATGTTTTAGTTTTACTATGCTGATATTTGATCTTCTCTATGTGATCAAAAATAAATGTGCCACATTCGATTCAGCTTTTTTTCACTAAACATTTTGGTTCTAATGAGATTATTTTTATGTACTAAGGTTGGGCAGCTCGTCTGGTTCAATCAACATTTGTACTCAGCAGTCTGCAATCAATGTTTCACAAATACTGAAATTCACTTATCTGTAGACTAGTTAGTAAGACTACATGCGTGAGAAGAGGATTAAATAAGGTTGTCAAACTATTTGCTACTTTTTCTCATGTTTTCTTTCCAGCCCGTATTTCGGAAATCCACGCCCTCCTGCGCTCGGATTGGCTAGTAGTTTACACTGCGGCTGCGTCCAAAACCGCATATGCCACGGCCATAATAAACAGTATACCACACTTTTTAATACAGTATACACAGTATGGAAGTATGTGTGTCTGGACGCTGTGGACCGTGCACTAGTGTGAACTACTGGCCAGTCGTAGCGCAGGGGGGCGGGGCATGTCTGAAAACGGGTGGTCGGAAATCTGGATACCGCACAGATAAAGTCCACAGTGATCTCAGACACGGCGCGCCAAAGATGAGCGCGTTAACCAATCAGATTCGCCCTGGGACCCACAGCTGACAACGAAAACAAAGAAAGGCATGTTTTTCCTCTAAAGCTGCTCGCTTCTCATGCATCGCCAGGGCGAGTCATGGGAGAAATCGTACTCCTTTAACACGACACCGCTAAGACTGGACATACTTCGGGTTCTCCAGTAAGTTCAGCTCGTCATATTTGCTGAAGGGTAGCTGTACCTTACAGTTCGGACAAGAAAAAAACACTTTAATGTTGGTTGCAAACAGCTTCAAGGTTGAGAGGCAGCTTTTATTTTGTAGTTCAGACAGCAGTTCAATGCGAAGGAGCGCTTTGGAAACTCCTTTCTCTGGAGGCAGGCCATCCAGATAGGAAAGTTATTTAGCATTAAACTGTCTGTTCTTGACAAACTTTTACTTTCGGGCGACTTTCCTGTTCAAGCTGCCAGTTTACCTTACATAAATGTAACATAAGAGATTATCCCAGGTTAGCTCTTGAGATTAACATATTAAAGAAAGACTGAGTAAATGGAGGTTACAACTTCACACAAATTCTCAACAAAAATGATAAGTTACTTCAGTTTCCTTCATCAAAGCTTAGGCTTTAAAGCCTAAAAACAACACTAGCTCTGGCAGCAGTTGCAGGTTCAAAGAAGAGAGTAAGAGTAAATAGGCTGAATGATGTCCCTGTAGACCTCAACACTCAAGGCACAAGGGCAGATGAAATGGGCTGTAAAATAACATGTGGATACAAAACGAGCACAGAGGTGAATCTTAGAATAAAGATTTAGAATTAGAACTTGTTTAGAAATCATTTACGATGTTTCTGGTTTTAAGTTACTTCATTTTCCATTTCATGGTCAGAGTGTTCCTTCCATGTTGCCTTAACAAGGTTGTAATTAAGTCAAGCCAAACATTTAAAGTAAATTCAGAGTCTATTACGTTAGTTTGTATAGTGTTGAGCGTTAGGTTCATTTTTCATGCTCAGTGGGAAACAAAGCTCATGCTAGTTTTAACCAAACATGGGGGTATTTCTTTTTACATATTAGTGGATAGACTTTCTCTCTAGCCTATGTTTAACTGGTTTCATTTCAAGAATGTGTCAAAATCTCCACAAAGTTAAAAGGGAATTCCACCGATTCACCTTTCAAAATTTCTTCATATTTAAATTGTTAAGGTGTAAGCAAAGTCATTCAACGTGGTTTGATGTGAAATGCTTTGTTCTAGAGAAACTTACAGAGACTGAATTGATCCCTGCGCTGCTGTTAGGAATCAGACATCTGAAAATTTCATGCCTCTAGAAGCTCCCTCACAGAAAGCTTGTTACATGAAATGAATGCCTGATGTCTGACACTAGGGGTGGACAATATAACAAAAATATCATATCACAATACTTCTAGATATTTTTTATGATATACAGTATGTATCACAATATTTTGGTGCACAGTCACAATGCACTAGTAGTGCTACTTTTAAAAACTGCTATCAAAAACTCTAAATGCAGAGATGTTTATTTAGGGTTTAATATGCTGTGCTGCACTAATTCCAGTTAAACAGGACTAATTATGCTCTCTTTGTAATGAGACATGCAGTTGGCAAACGTTCTTATGCTAAGGAGAGCTTATCGTGCATCATGATAACAAAATGAATCACGATAATGATAAAATATTGTCATATTGCCTACCTCTACCTGAGACATTGTTTTGCAGTAGTTTTGAGAAGATCTTGGCCTTAAATCTTTTTTTAAATTAATTCATGGTGGAGAGGTACATGCAGGGGGTGTTGTAAGGAAAAATAGTCCCCAAATAGAACTGTTTTTTTTTGTTTGTTTTTTAGATTTACCACAGTTTTACCATTATCAACATCACATATGAAAACTCAAAAGAAATGTGTAAGTTTACTTGTTTTGAATAATAACTAAATATTTGAGTTGTAAACATTGCAACCCCTGGTTTCTATCACCACCACTGTAAAGAAATCTGAGTTGTAAGTTTCTCTACAGTGCACCGTTTCACATCAAAACACTCTGAATGACTGTTTATATCTTGAAGATGGAATTTTGAAAAATTAATGGAATTCCCCTTTAAAGAGTCATTATGCTTAGCTTGCAAAAGTTTAGACCTTTAAAATTTGTTTTACCATGTAATTTATTATTCACTTACCTATTTAACTGAAAACATTTTGACATACATATTTAAACTAAACGAGTCTTTTTCTCAACATGCAGAAAACTTTGACTGAAATTGCTGGAGTAGCCTCTCACATAAATGTTTAACTTTCTTAGGTAATCCTCAGTGAAAGTCTTAGCTGACTGAGCTGCAGACAACCATCGTAATGTATAACTGAAGAGAGTGGTTGTATTAAGTGAAAGGACAATATATTTGTCTTCAACTGTGCCACTGTGTGCAAGTTAATAATCAACTTACATTCGTGAGCTTGAGGTCAATGCGGTACTTTCCATGTAGCAATTGTTATACTTTGAATGGAAATGAAAAGGATAGAAGTTTAACTGATTATGTAGTGTTTTATGGAGTAAGGAGATGATGTAGGTTTGAGGTACCCATGTGTGAAGATGAAGAGTTTGAAAAGTAAACTGTTAGCTCTGTTAATTATTATAAGACAATTCAAATAGTAAAGGGATTTATGTAACATCTACCATTTTAGTGTGTGCAATAAAGTTTGTTTTCTTGTGTCTGTGTGTCAAATCAAAAAAGTTTCTTTTAAAATGTAGGGCAGAGGCAGTAAGATTAGGTTTAACATTAACACTCACTGGTTTCACAAGGGCGTGTTTACATCTGCTTTAGTCCTAGCCCACAGCGCGTCATAAAGCATTGTTGTCTCTCTTTAAGGATCTGCTATTTTTTTCGTTTTCTTCCTGACAATGTAGTAAAAGCCATCCAGAAAAGAGTGTCTTGACTCAAATAATTTGGCAATAATTACATTTTTTTTCTTACCTCAAGCTCACATTGGGTGGGTGTGTATAAGTTTAAGGGTCAGTTAAGGACTCACCTGAGTCTCATTATCCAGAACCTTCTGTCCTCTCCTGTTTTGTCCCTGTAGGTGCACCTGCTCAGGGGGACGTGGGGGAGTGCATTCAGAGGTCCAGGGAAAAGAAGTAAAAAGAAAAGAGGACGCTGGAGCTCAGAAGATGGCAGATTCTCTCAGCTTTGAGTGTCTGTCTTGACATCTGCTGTCTTTTATCATCATGCTGAGCCTTATCAAACTGCCTCGAGTCTTAACCATCAACCAAGTTCCGAAAGTAAGTACTGTACTTTCAGATGATTCACAGTGATGTATTCTACCACTAATGCAGCGATATGTTGGTGCGGCTTTTCATCTGAGCAATAAGGTCTAATAGCTGATCACTTCTTTTGTCCTGTTTATTGTTATTATTATTATTATCTGTTTAAATGAGTAATATCAGTAAGCCCCTAGATTTTTAGTGTGAGTATTTTTGTCTAGTTTTCATTCTGTGAGAGTAACAGTTGCCACAAATACTATTAATTGCTGAGTATCATAAACAGTGTTGCTTTATTTATTTATAGCTATCTTGAATTTGGGTATCTCTGAAATTAATAAAAGAATTTTCTACGCAGGTCTTCCATGAAGATGGGATTGTATCAGGGTATCGGTGCCCATACAGCTCAGCTAAAGACTGTGTTCTTAGCCTCTTCCAGCTAACAAATGAAACTCTGAACATTTGGACCCACTTTTTGCCTGCATGGTATGACTAGAGCACCTTGTTTCCCACAAAGAGAGCTACTTTAAAACAGCCAGTGGAGAAGCTTATCATTAATAATGATAAGAATTTAAAAACTATATAAAAAAGTAATAATTAGTAATAATTAAGAATTTGCTTAACTGACATTGTAAACTGCTCTTCTGGGTAGTTTGCACCTGCATTGTCTGTACTCATGAAGACATAAATCGATGCCAAAACATTATGACTACCTGCCTAATGTGCTGGTCCTCTGCATGCTGCCAAAACTGCTCCAATTCACCGAGGCATAGATACTACAAGACCTCTGAAGGTGCCCCATTTTATCTGGCACCAAGATGTTAGCAGCAGATACTGTAAGTTGCGAGGTGGAGCTGCCGCAGATCAGACTCGTTTTTTCAGCACATCCCACAGATGCTTGATTGGATTGGGATCTGGTGAATTTGGAGGCCAGGGCAAAACTTTTAAGTGTTCATCATATTTCTCAAGCCATTCCCCACACAGTGTGTGCAGTGTGGCCGAGCGCACTATCCTGATGAAAGAGGCCACTGCCATCGGTGAATGCATTAGCCATGAAGGGGTATACCTGCTCCACAATAATGTTTAGGTAGGTGACGTGTTAAATTGACATCCACATGAATGCTGGACCCAGGGACCCAGCAAAACATTGCCCAGAGCATCACACTCCCTCCACCCACAGCACATCCTGGTGCCCTCACTTCTCCAGGTAAAAAGTGAGCACATACCCAGTTATCCATGTGATGTAAAAGAAAATGGGACTTATTGGACCAGGTGATCTTCTTCCATTGCTCCAAGGTCTCTTTTGCCCTTTGTAGGTGCTTTCAGCATTGGGCAGGGGTTAGCATGGGCACTCTGATTGGTCTGTGGCTACTCAGCCCCATACACAGAAGGATTTGCTGCACTGTGTGCTCCTCCTATCACCATCATTGAAATTTCTCTGACTTGTGCCACAGTAGTCCTTCTGTCAGATCTGACCAGACGGGATAGCATTTGTCGCCCTACATATTGATGAGCCTTGGGCAGCCAACACCCTGTCTGTTTGTGGTTTGTTCTTCCCTGAACCGCTGTCAGTAGGTACTCGCCACTGCTGGTCTGAGCACCCCACAAGCTTTGCTGTTTTGGAGATGCCCCAACTCAGTCATCTGGCCATAATGATTTGACCTTTGTCAAAGTCACTCAAGTCTTCATGCTCACCCATTTCTCCCACATCCAACACAATGACAACAGGAACCGACTGTTTGCTTACTCTCTAATGTATCTCAGACTTTGACATGTGCTGTCGTTACAAGATAATCACTGTTATTTGCCTCATTGGTGAGGGTCATAATGTTTTTGGCTAATCGGTGTATATGCTCTTGCTGTGGGCAAATCTAGTAACATAGAGAGCATTTTCCCTAATCACATTATCAGCTGATGTTTGTAAAAAGTGACAAAATATGTACCTCAATTTTGCCTGGTGTGCTAGGTTCTTCTTATGGAAGCTGCTGATGGTGCTAGTAGAGGAGGAGTGGTGGGACTCATATTGTTGGCCTCTGCTGACCTTCCTGATGTCATGCTGTTTGTACCCACTGGCCTCCAGCTGTGCCCACACCTTCAGCACTATGTCCGAGCGTGCCAGACACATCTGCTTCTTCTTTGACTATGGAGCGCTCAGCTTTTACAGCTTAGGTTAGGGGGTGAATTCATTACAAATGAGCCTTTTTTTTTACATTGAATATTCAGTATAAATATTTACATTGATAGACAGGACACACATTTGGTCTAAATGTATTATTTATTGTGTGTTTGTGAATGACAAGGTTCTGCCATCATCTACTCCTCCTATGCATTTCCTGAGAAATGGGTCAACAGCACTTTCCATAAATACTACGTTCCCACTGCCACACTTAACGCTATCATCTGCACTGGACTGGCCTGTTACTCAAGGTAGGACGGATGATGTAAAATATTATGAAGGAAATTGTTCAGTATCTTTTTAAGACTTTTCAGTCAGCTGTACCTTTGCTTTCTGTTTTTGACAACTTTAACTTCTTGAAGGTTTGAAAGAGTAAACAAGTGAGATCAGAATAATTCAGTGTGATGATTCTGACTGTTGCATTTCTGAAAAAAAAACTATTATATTCATTTTATTGCTTATGGTATACTCATACTGGTTATTGTGAAGTTTACATAATTTCCTTGAAATGCACCGTTGGTCACCTTTTGTAATGACATGATGGCCTCTTTGTAGATATAATCAGTTTCAACCCTCAGATAAACATTTCATCAGATAAACTTAAGTTCAACATTAAACTTGATTTGGCATTAGACTTTCCATTTGGTAAAGTATTATAGAGTCAGTTTTATTTTTCTTTTAGCATTTCTGTGATTAATGCTTTGGGGTTTTTTGGATATTGCTTTAAAATCATTGCAACACTCACCTCTTCCCTCAAATTCTCCTTAACTGTACATCCTTTATTCTTTACCTTTTCTTCAGTACAATTATACACAAATAAATGGCAAATTCACTGGATTATCTGTATCAAATCCATGTAATATTTACAATGTTCTTTTCTTAGGTCTACTGTGAAATCGAGTGCAAAGCTAGGCAAGAGTCTACGTATTGTGGCTTTTACATATCCATATCTCTTTGACAACATTCCTTTGTTCTATAGGGTGAGTTGACTTGCTGCTCCTCACAAGTCATGCCAAAAAATTATTGTCTTACCAACATATCTAATAATAAAGATAATACTTTATAATCTATTGTCACTGAAATTTATCTTGCACCACAAGCTCCAGCAATCATCAGACATACATGTACATTAGAAGTGTAGCGATACATATATTTTAAGATTTGATGTCAGTTTAGATTCTGAGGTCTAGATTTGATTTGATTTTTGATATTTTATGAAGTCAACCTGCAATCAAAGTTGACATTTTTGTTGTATTGTTTCACGTACCTGGTCATATTGAGCGCTTCATCATATCATACCATTTAAAAGAGAAAGTTTGAGATTCCTTGTAATCTTTGCCTCAAAATCATCTTACGTAACTGTAGTATAAAAATATGGTAAATTACTGGTGTCCTCATGGGCCAACTTTGGCCACACTTCGGGCAGCCGTGCCCTAGAATTTCTAAGTGACTTGAGGGAAAAAAGTCCTTTGAGATTAAGAGAGCATTTTACTAGGATACACCCAAATACATAGTTTTCATAATTGATAGTAGTTTCTGTAAAAGACAGTAAATGATAATGTATATTTAAATTTCGATTTCAAATTATTCAGCCTTGTGTCCAGAAAAGTTGGAACACCATGCAAAATGTAAATAAAAACAGAATGCAGCGATGTGCAAATCATTTAAATCCTATATTTAATTGAAAATAGTACAAAGACAATATATCAAGTGTTGCAACTCTGTTTTTTGCAACTGAAATTTTCTTGTTTTTTGAAATATTTGATGCCAGCAACACTTTTCAACAAAGTTGGAACAGGGGCAACAAAAGACTGATAGAGCTAAGTAATGCTAAAATAAGACACCTGGTGGAACATCTCACAACTAATTAGATTACTTGGCAACAGGTCATTAACATGTTTGGGTATAAAAAGAGCATCCCAGAGAGGCTCAGTCTTTCAGAAATAAAGACTGAGCCAAATAGTTCAACAATACAAGAATAAGGTTTCTCAGTGTTGTTAAATGAAAAGATGATGCCACACAGTTGTAAACATGCTCCTGTCCCAACTTCTTTGAATCGTGTTGCTGACATGAGTTTTAAAATGGACATATATTTTCCAAAACAAAACACTTTTTTACCGTCAACAATTGATATGCTGCCTTTGTACTACTTTTAAATTAAATAAAGGGTTTTAAATGATTTGCAATTCATTACATTCTATTTTATGTACATTTTGCAAAGTGTCCCAACTTTTTTGAAACTGGGTTGATCAAAAGCTTGAACGGAGAAAAGTCAATATTTGATACTTTTGATACTTTAATAGGACATTGATATTGACCCCAGACAACCTTGAGACCTTGTCCATTCACTGTCTGCAGTCCTCATTGAAGTCCTCAGTTTTAGAACTGTTCATTGTTTGAGCACATTGTGACTGGCTTTTCTGTTCCTGCAGATTTTTGTGTGTGCTGGTGAGGGTTGCACAGTCAATGAAGCTACTGCTGTCCACTACCAGCACACTGCACTGGCCCTCCTCACTGGTTTCCTCTTTGCCACACATTTACCTGAACGTCTTGCACCTGGCAGTTTTGACTACATTGGTGTGCTACACAATTCAAGACGTCTGAATTTGAGAACCTTAACATTCAGTGAATGCACACAGCAGCAGGTGTTGTCCATTAATTTACGGTGTTTTTCTCCATTCTCCACAGGGCACAGCCACCAGCTCTTTCATGTGTTTGCTATCATTGGCACATATTTCCAGCTGACTGCAATTGAGCTAGACATGACCTCACGGAAGCGGTGGCTTCAGGCTCATTCACAGCCGATTACCTTTACCAACACAGTGGGTGCAGCGTTGTTTTGTGCAGCTTCCAGTCTATGTATAATCTACATCTTCTGTTGGGCACTTCCCTCCACTAGGACCCAGAAGGACCATGATTTGAAATAGTCACGTTTTAGTGCAGCTTCTGACGTACAGAAGCAAGCAAAGTGTTTTATTCGAAGCCAGGAGAAACTATGATAAAGGAATCATGTGAGTGAAACATATTTTAAACTGCACTGCATTAGCTATACTAATTCTCTTTATGAATCTGTTCATCAGGGCATTTTACTTTTTGTGACAAAAAGCAGCCTAATGAAGACAGATGCTGAAAGGAGGATTCATACTGTACTGCACCCAGAGGCTTTTTATAGGCCTTAGTCACAATGTGTGCCTTATGAAACTGGCGATGTATTTTATCTGTAACATTTTGTGTTTAACCTCACTCTGAAGACAAAGATGTCACTTGCCTACACTGATAAATTAATAACTAATAAATGTTTTATTTAATTGTTTTGTGGTGTTGTGTAAATGCTCGTTTTGTTCCATTATTTTTATAATTTTGCAGTTGTAAATAAATTTCAATAAACTAATCTGATTTTTTTTCTGGTGTCCTAATTTTGGATAGACATTTGATTTGTACAGTGAGAAGAAAATTCTTTTCAAACAGTAGGTTTCTAATAATTTAAATAATTAAACATGTTATTATGTACTTATTCATTTAATCAATCGTGTTACATGGGGCTGAAGTACAAATGACTTAATTCTCCCTACATAGTGCACTACATATGTCACGAAAGAATTACTTTTACACCAAAATCGTGCACTTTGTTCTTTCATTCTGTGGCTCAAACCAAAAATTACCTTTTTAATAATACAGTGCACTATTTGGTCGTGTAAGCTTTCATGACCTGCAGTGCACTGTAAATAGATTTGGGAACTATTGGAGATTTCGCCTGGACCAAGAAAACAAAAAGTCTAATGAAACTTCCTTTCCGGTCCTCTTCCTTTGATGCTTCCTGACCTGGTAAGCATGTGAGTCCACACGCTGCTCAGATATGACTATATATTTAGTGAGACCAGGAGCTACAAAAAGAGAAAGAGCGAGAAAAGAGAATAGCAAAGGAACTATTGAATTATTGGGACGCAGCCTGTCTCAGCGGAGGGGACTTTACGTAAGCAGCGTCAGGCGGGACTTCCTGTAGTGTCAGCCGCCTGTGCTGCGCTCTGATTGGTGGGATTTGAAAAATCCGTTTTTTGTCGCGAGGCGGAGGGAAGATTCGAACTTCGAATTGGCGAGGAGAGCGGAGCGAGCGGACCGAGTCGATTAAAGTCAAATAAAAACACCTCAAGATGATCAGGCCGACGTGAGTAACCATGATCCATTTATTTCTGTAAAACGCTACGTTTTGATTTGAGAAATGTCTGTGTCTTCCGTTTTTATCGTCTGTGAGGATCGTTAATCTCTCACAGAAGCAGCAAACCAGACTAGCGAGCTAACTGAACTTCGTCATCCGTGTTGTGTCTCCAGGCAGTTATAAGATAGATAAGATAGAATAACTACTAGTGGCGTAAAACATGACATTAGAGCAAACGCTAGTTATAATTTATCGCTAGCTATGTTTTCTGTCTATAAGTTAGCAGCTTGTGGGATTTGTAGGAGTTCCATTCTGTAGCCTGTTTTGAAAATACATTGTTTATTTAAACGTCTAACCGGTAGCCAGCTAATTATAGCTTGCTAACAGACAACCAGCTAGTTGGTCAGTTCGTGGATTATTGCTGACTACTGACTAAACTCACTTTGACTCATTCACTATTTAAGTTATTAGCTAAACATTGCTTTGATATTTATATCGTACTTAATACATCTATGTAACAGACCAATTTATTAGTTAACTAGTTAGCGTTAGTTTAGCTAGCTAGCTAGGTTATTTAATTCTAAAACAGGTTTATTGAAGTGAACGGTTTTAGCCGCATCAGTCGTTACTTTGGTACAATATAAATAATACGTGTCGGCTAGTTATATTCTTTGTTTGTTTTAGCTGGAGGAGGCTTCGTTTGGTTAGCTAACCTAGTGTTAACGTAATACTCACTAGTATGTTCGTCCTCTTGGTTCTAGTCTAGTCTTATTTTTCATTTACCCAAATGCCATTTTTATTTCAGGAAGGGCAAGACCCCGCGCCGACCAGCTCCTAAAAAGCCATCGAACAACCAGAAAGATCCAGTTGGGGTTTGTACCTTAACTTTTTCAAGGCATAATCATCATGAACCGTCTTATGGCGCTGTCACATTGCTGAGAATAGAGCTGTACAGTGTGCCTGTAGGTTTTTCGTTAGAGGTAAAACGGCTGTTTTTTTGGACAGGTGTACTGCCGTGTGCGTCCACTAGGTGCAGAGGATGAAGAATGCTGTGTTGAGGTCATAAGCAGTACTACCATCCAGCTTCACGCCCCTGATGGTCTCAAAGCCAACAGGAATGGTGAATTCAAAGAGGTTAGCCAGTTCTCTTTCTGTGTTTGCCCAGCATGACTAAAAATGTTGATGTTTTTAAGGAGTAATTTTAGAATGCATTGTGTTTTGTGTTCCTTATAGATTGATTTATTGTTATTTTATTCTGACAATGTTCTCTACACAAAATCAAATTTTCAAATTTGGGCAGAGTTGAGTGTGACCGTTTGTTGTAATCTTTATTATTGCCTTGCAGACTCAGTATTCCTTCAAAAAAGTTTTTGGAATTAAAACAACACAAAGGGAATTGTTTGAGGAAGTCGCAAAACCTCTTGTGGAAGACCTTATTCACTGTAAAAATGGTAAAGGAATCATTTGCTTGCAACTGAATGTAATGTGATTGATCATAGATTATCAAGTGCTTTAAACGTTTGTTCTCTTTGAATTAGGTCTTCTGTTCACCTATGGTGTCACTGGGAGTGGAAAAACCTTCACAATGACTGGTTCCCCAGGCCAAGGTGGCCTCCTGCCTCGCTCACTAGGCATGATCTTCAACAGTATTGGTCCTTTCCAGGCCAAGAGATTTGTAAGAAAACTTTTAGTGTGATCGGTTTGGTAAATTTTAATGGATATTCTCATATTAATTCCCTCTTCCAAATTCTGCAGGTTTTCAAACCTGATGATAAGAATGGCATGGAAGTCCAAAATCAAGTGGATGCTCTTTTGGAGCGACAGAAGCGAGACAGTCAGCAATCTGTACCAAAGACTCCATCCTCGAGGTACGCGAAAGATCTGTTGTTGTGCAATATACTGTATGTGTGCTTGGACCATGTATTGATTAGTTGTCCATCATAACTAATATGTATGTTTTGATTTTGTTTCACAGGCAGAAAGTAGACCCTGAGTTTGCTGACATGATTAGCCCAGAGGACTCTTGTAAGGCTGATGCAATAGATGAGGACAGCAGCTACAGTGTGTTTGTCTCTTACATTGAGATATACAATAACTACATCTATGATCTCCTGGAGGAGGCTCCATTTGACCCAATAAAGCCAAAGTAAGCCCAACAGATAGCCACTGTATTAGTACAAGCTGTCTTATGATTTTGTATGATGTTTATGCTCTGTCTGCTTTCATTTGTGTGCACAGAATTTATTTATTTATTTATTTTTTGGACAAAGGCAGGCAGAATTTAATTTTATTTAAGATAAACAGATCATAGTGAGCATATGTTTGGTCATATGTAACACTCAGTCTCTCTTGACATTGATAGATTTTGTTATAGAGTAGCTTCAGACAAAATGTTTCTGTTCCTTTGCTAGGTGGAATGGTGCAGGGACACCTCTGCGAAACAACACTGAGTTCATGTACGTGACCAGTGGATAACTCCTACAGATAGACTGTGGTCTTTTAAGCAGCATTTCCTGTCCTTTAGCTGTGTCTTTGTCCTGTGCAATGTTGTCTAAGGTTTACCTGTGTTTTTGTAGAATGCTGGGCTTGTAGAGAATGCTGTGCAGCTTCGTCTGTTTGTTTTTCCTGTGCTTCTGCTGTAGTGGCTGATAATCACCCTTTGCAGAATGGCTGGCAAGCTGCCCTTTTATCTTTGTTTTCTCATCACAGAAATGTTGATATATTCTAATAGAGATTCTTCTTTTAGACCACCGCAATCTAAAATTTTGCGCGAAGACCAAAACCACAACATGTATGTAGCTGGGTGCACTGAAGTTGAAGTTAAGTCAACTGAGGAAGCATTTGAAGTCTTTTGGAGGGGTGAGTTAAAATATATCTCTAACTTTTACAGCAAAATGTCCTGTAGGTTTCAGTATATTTTTGTTGACATTATCAACTATGAACACTAGGTCAGAAGAAGCGCAGGATTGCAAACACACAGTTGAATCGGGAGTCCAGCAGATCTCACAGTGTTTTTATCATCAAACTGGCTCAAGCACCGTTGGATGCAGATGGAGACAATGTTCTTCAGGTAAGTAACCACACTGCAGAGTTAGCTTACAGTGAAAGGTCCATGTAGAGAATACAGTACTTTTGTGGATTTAGGACACCTTTGCAGATTTAGGACGCCTTTGCTTAATGTTGTTACAGGACAAGAACCAGGTGAATGTGAGCCAGCTGTGTCTGGTGGATCTGGCTGGCAGCGAACGCACAAGCAGAACACGTGCAGAGGGCAGCCGCCTTCGAGAAGCAGGTGAGCCATATTTTTGTAGGGTTTGTTTGTTCATTCGTTCTTGGGCCTTACGTTTAATACAAAATGGATTATTCATTTTGTGTATCTCCCTACAGGCAACATCAATCAGTCTCTGATGACACTCCGCACTTGTATTGAAGTTTTGAGAGAGAATCAGATGTGTGGCACTAATAAGGTATGTGTGACACCCCCCACCCTTCTGTTTTGTGTGTTTGGTTTACCACATCAGTTGATAAGTTGTAAGAGTCAGGCTTTCTTTTCAGATGGTCCCATACAGAGACTCTAAAGTGACTCACTTGTTCAAAAACTATTTTGATGGAGAAGGCAAAGTCAGAATGGTGGTCTGTGTCAATCCTAAGGCAGATGATTACGAAGAAACTATGGTAAGACCAAGTGCCTGTGTTATGCATTGTAGAATTGGGTGTACAATATTCTGTGGCTTCAAATGCTGCGCTTCTGTAAGCATGTTGTGTGTTTGGTAGCTGGTAATGCGGTTTGCCGAGATGACTCAGGAGGTGGAGGTGGCCCGGCCTGTCGACCGGCCCATTTGTGGGTTTGCTGCAGGCCGCAGACAGAGGAACCAGGCCTTCAAAGAGGAGCTGTCTCGTCGGCTAGAGGAACGTGGTGGCCCAGTAGATGGAGGTATTACTTATCCATACGCCCACAATGGCACTTGATACTCTGAAGCAAGCTATACAGTAGCAGTTAAGAGCCAGCCCTTAATCCAATTTGTTGGATGTTTGTGTGTGGTTTTTTTGTTCAGAGCCTCCCTCAGCCCTAAGCCAGCTGCTGCAAAGCTTGCCTCCGCTACCTCCCTGTGAGATCTCTGACCCTGCCGATGACCACACATTTCCTAGGGTCATTGAGTGCTTGGAGAAGAGGCTTAAGGTCCGCCAGATGTTGACTGAAGAGTACAACAAAGCTGGTATGATTTTTCTCCTAGCAGTTTGCCTTTGCCATTTACTGATAATGTAACTACAGGCTCTTGATTCTCTTCTTGTTGCAGCTAACATGCTAAAGTCTATGCTTCAAGAACTGGATGGTAAACTTATGTCCAAAGAGAACTTTATTCATGAGCAGCGAGGCAAACTGGGGGAGAAGGATAAAATGATACAGAACCAGAAAAATGAAATTGATCGTCTGGAGAAGAAATCCAAGATGCTGGAATACAAGGTAATCTTGGGAACTTGAACCATCAATGCCATCATGATCAGTCAGGGTGTGTGGCTCAATGTTGTTTCATATCTGTTTAGATTGACATCCTGCAGAAAACCACCAACATCTATGAGGAGGACAAGCGTGCTCTTCAGCACGAGTTGGAGAGCAGGGAGCAGAGGCTGCACCGTGAACTCTCAGAGAAGAAACGGATGGAGGCACGCCTGCAAGGCATGGTCACTGATGAAAAGCTCAGGTGGCAGAAGGAGTGTGTGAGTAATCATATCTGTGTAACTTGGTGTTTGTACTGATGTGGTTATAGATACCTGTGATAGTAAAGCTGATGAATTATTGTTGTAATGATTGTTTTAAAGAGTCATTTTATGTAGAAGTGGCCTTTTTTTAGCAGGTGGAGAGCGGTGCCCATATTTATGGATTTAGCATAGATGCTGCTTTAGTCACCCAGTAAAATGTGGGATGGGGTCATGCTGTGTATGGCAGTAGACCTGTACAAGAAAGCTTTTCTGTTCTGAGATGCAATAGGACAACAAAATCAAACAACTTTAGAAAGACGTTGATAATTCTATTTCCTTTTTAAAGTGTAGGTAAAGGTATCTAAGAATGTACTTTTTTTATATACTCTTCCAAACTTCTGTTAATTCTTTGATTAATTTACTTAACATAGATTTTGTCCGTATGTGCGTTAGATCCTACAGCAACCAGGCATGTTCAGTAATCTGGAGATAGTGAGGAATTATGAGCATACTTACAAATGTGCATTTCTATGCTATGTTCCTGTTTTCTGAGGGTTTTTTTGGCCTGTGCAGGGATGTTGGTCTCCAACCCTCAGCATTGTTTTGTACTGTCTATATGTCAATGGACTTGAAGTTGACTGTGTGTTAATATGTAGGAGAGGCGTGTAAATGCCAAGGAGCTGGAGATGCAAAACAAGCTATGGGTGAAGGATGAGAAGCTGAAGCAGCTCAAAGCCATCGTGACAGAGAGTAAGACGGACAGCCGGCCAGAGAAACCCCAGCGGCCTTCCAGAGAGAAGGACCGAGTACCTGCTAAGAGATCAGCTTCTCCCTCGCCCATACCTGTACGTCTCCCTGACTTGCCTTTCAAAGTTGCTACAGCTCAAGCCTTCTTCATTTAATATATTCTGGTCTTGCCATTTCCAAACATTGATTTTTGCTCTTGCATGATTTTATTTGTGTAATTAATCCTTGTACATAACATTTTTGGATGAGTTCTGATTCTCATGCGTGTTGTTTTTAACCCCCTTTCTGTAAATGTGTTTTGTGCGTGTGCGTGTGTGCGTACCATGTGCACTAACTGGATATTGCTTACGGTTCTCTACACTGCTCTCCAGCCACCCCACTCCTGCCAGACCCCTGTATACATTCCCCCCCAGGCAGTCAGGCCAGCTCCCCTTTCCCCCAGTACCAACAGTGTATCTGTGGCCTCCTGCATTTCTGAGTGGGAGCAACGAGTGCCACAGGCTGGTAGACAGGGCAGCCCCTCCCCTCCCCAAAGTAGGAGCAGAGCTCAGGGTCTTAGCAGGAGGAGAGGCAAGTGCTGGACCAGAGACTGTGAGGTGCCTGTCCAGCCAGGGGATGTAGACCTAGAGGAGAATGGTTACAGGGTCAGTGGCGTATCTCGCTGTAGCTGTAGGTAGAGTTGTAATGACGCTGCTAACATAGTTAGTACTTAAATAACATAGTTCCTAAATGTGTTGCTTGATGGCTGCACTTCTAGATGTCTGTATTAAAATGATAAGAGACTGATTTGCTGCTAATTTTTTAACTCTCATGTCATTTATGTTCTGTTTCACACTTCAGACAAATAAATGGAGACTAATAAATGACCTATGTGATCTCATGTGCCTTGTTTTTGGTACCTTGAAAAGCAGCATACATGGGATGTTAGAAGGGCATTACTGACTGGAAAAAAATACATTTGAGCTTGCGATAAATTACTAATGCTCCTCGTCTGCCCTTTATCAACCGCTTGGCATAGGCATTGCTTTTAATAGAATAGTCCTACTAACTCACTAATACCTAATACTAATCCCAGTCTCCTGACAGTGCGTGTGTTTTGGTTGTACAGACTGGACCACCAGTTAGGCCTCTGCACAGGCGCTCGCACTCTGCTGGTGCTGAGAGGTGGGTGGATCATAAACCGCCCACAAATGTGGAGCTTGACACGGTCATGCAGCCCACCGTTCCCAACGCCATCAAGGTGACCGCTCCCAGCGAGAAAGCTCTGTCCAAGTGTGACAAGTACATGCTGACACACCAGGAAGTGGCCTCGGATGGAGAGATTCAGACCAAACTCATTAAGGTGGCCTCTCTGGATGTCTAATCTGGGTTAACAAGCATACAGTGATCTGATCATTGCTGGTCCTTGGCTAATAAAATGTTTGTTTTTCAGGGTGAAGTGTTCAAAACTAGAGGTGGGGGACAAGCAGTTCAGTTCACTGATATTGAAACGCTGAAACAAGAAAACCCTGTTGCCCCGAGGTGAATAAAATTGAGTTGTGTATTTATGTACTGTAGATCAAATTATTTTACTGTGCTTGACAAGGTTGACGTTAAAACAAGCTACTGTCAATGCCTGTTTTTCTAAAAGCCGTAAGAGGAGATCATCAGAAACTGGCCCTAACCAAGAGGAGCATAGAGATGGGGACTGGACTGATGTGGAGACCAGGGTGAGGATTGTTGCATTTGATCATCTCTGGTCCTGTTATATATATGTATAGACTTTTTATACACAGGAGTGACTATGATGTGCAACTTGTCAGGATTAACTCAGAAGACTTGCTTGTTGCAGTTGTGCTTTTTCATGGATTTTATTACTGGATATTTTGATGTGAGCACAGATTACTCAAGCTGCGTCCTTGTTTTTGATTTATTTAGTGCTCCGTGGCCGTGGAGATGAGGGCTGGCTCAAACCTGGGACCTGGTTATCAGCACCATGGATATCCAAAGTATGTTCTTTTCTAAACGTATTCATTTCCCCTTTGCCTTCAGTCTCACCAGCAAAGGAGTATTTGGAGTTTGTTGTAATTCAGATGTTTGAATTTTGTCTTCCAGACGCAGAAAGCCCTAAGAGCTGCCATTGCATTGCTGTCACAGTCAAGAGTCCTTTCCTCTTGAAATCCCCTCATCACTGTGTGCAATACCTTACACTATTTAACTTTTTTAAGAATGCTTTTTATATAAAATACGTTTTATATGTATAAGCCTGTATATACGTTCACCAAAGTGGTTTTGTTATGCTTCTACATTAGTGTTACCATCAAAAATTCAGGCGTAGTGTAATCATGATTTTGGGGTGATTGAGATAAAAGTTATGGTGAATGTTTTATTCCCCTGCTGTCTCTTTATGTAATGCTTTTCTTTGGTATCTTTTTCTTTGTTTAGTATCTTATGCTTTCAGTGAAGTAGGGTAATCGAAAGCATTTGCCAGGCACGATTGTGCTGTAGGAATAAGAGCCCCATTTCAGAGTGTAATCCTGAATGTAGTCTTACTAGAAAAACACTGTTCTCACTTGTGTGATTGATGCAGACTGTCAGAACAAAACTGAACACCACAGCGTACACGAAACACAAACTGTTAATAAACAGCATTTGAAGATGTTTGCTCTCTTTTTAGTGTTATTACCTTTTGCATAAAGAAGATACCTGCATTCTCTTTCCTTGGTTCATTTACTAGGCCATTGTGAAGCTTTAAGCAGATTTTTCTTTTACCATTGAATGAACAGCAGATGGCAGCAGTGCTTTATCATGTTCAGGCTGATTCGCTGAGGAATGCAATACTTGTATATGAGGGGGTGGAGAGAGAAAGAGAGCGATGCCACAAAACTTAAGTTTTTGTAAAAATGATTATAATATGGTGTAATATAAACCTTATAAATGCCATTTTGCTTACAGAGCAATTTGATATGATATATTGGCCTACTATTTGGGGTGTAAATGTGCAAGGTGTTGGCATACTAAATTGTAGTCAGCCATGCTTTAAAAGTGTAATGGAAATATATAATATTGTGTGTGTGTGTGTGTGTGTGTGTGTGTATATATACAGTGAAATTAAAGCTTATGTTTTAGTTGCAGACTTTTTGAAGTTCCATGGTTCTTAGGAACTGAATTAAGCTGCTGGACAGTATGCTCCCCCCACCCCCCATTTCACCCCAAACATCAAGTTTCATATTCTGTCATATTTTGAATTTACATAAACATATTCCTTTTCTCCTGACCCCTGCAGTCACTGTAGATGAAGGAAAGGTCAAAAAGCTTTTGTGTTTTCATACAGAAATTAGGCCTCCATTCAAAAATGTATTGACAAAATCCATAGAAGAGGGTTGTTGCCTTATAGTGGCTAACATGGTCAGGAAGGACTTAATGCGTTTTCAGTGATTACACACAAACAGCTAAGCCCACCCTATAAATAATTTCTAATTTTTAAGGAAAAAATCAAAACTGATTTGTATATAATGATACATGAAATATAGAATTAGAATGCCTTGTTTGTAAACCACCAAGGTTATTTTTTTTGTAATTTAATATTTAAGTAATACTCTAAACTGTTGAGACTGATATTGGCCATTCCGACTCATGACTTTAGCTACTAGCTGTCTTTTGCAATGGAAAATAACACACCTAGATCTTGTGTAACACCTAGATCTTTGTCCCACAGAATTCTGTGTTCATGTGTTTCTTTTAAAGTTCTCATGGAGGCTTTGATGTGAATTCTACTGGCTCAAAACTCAAAGTAGCAAACAAAGAACACCTGCGTTTTTTGGATGTGGTGCTTGGTATTTTTTAAAAACATTACACGTTAAAAGTACACATTAGGTGCACCTTCAAAAAGATGGTTCTTCAAGGCTTTAGTAAAGGGAATTGTTCTATTTAGAACCATGAATTCTATGTAGAACCATTTCATCCTTAAATAGTTCTTTGCATGGTGAAATCATTCTTCAGATTGATAGAGAATGTGTTGTATATGGTTCTGTAGAGCCAAAAAAGTGTTCTGCTATTCTTATGACATCAAGCTTGTAACAATAGCAGAACCCTTTTAGGTGTTACTTAGAACCATTTTCATAAAGGTTCTGTATAGACCCATGTAAAACAATCTGAATAACTATTTCACCATGCAAAGAGCTATATAAGCACGAAATGGTTCTATATAGAATTCATAGTTCTAAATAGAACCATTCGCTTAACTAAAGAACCCTTGAAGACCAATACTGTATATAAAGCTCTCTTTTATTTGGTAGTAATCCCACTCAGCAACAGGCAAACCCATTAATAAATGAGGTTCTGTGCTGCTCATGCCTTCTCCAATCAGCACGACTCGGAAGGCAGGTAAGTGAAATAAGATTCTAAAATTAAATGTAAAAATCTGTTTGGATTATCAGGGAGTATTTGCTTCATGAATGCGTCAAATCCAGCTTAATCTCGGTGAAATGCGGTCAGTGCTGCATTTCACATAATAGCCTCAAAAGTGCAACAACAAAAGGAGTATTGTTGGAAACGACTGGTGTGTGCATGCGTGTGTGTAACCGTCTTAGTGACACCACTGTGACTGAGGCCAAGATAAGAGCTTTGAATCGATGCAGTGATGGGCCCTACTTTATTTTGTCTTGATGTGGCATTGTGTTAAAGACTTTAGTTAGCTCATCATGCTGAAAGAGTGTCCTGTTTTACGTGACAGATAATGCTGGAATTCCAGTCACTCTCACCTGGACATATAATCCTCATCAGTTATTTTCATCTGACGTGCATGCTGTGAGTCCCTTAATCAGTATACACTATTCTTCTTGTGCAAAGTGACAGCACTTGAACTATTTGTCCTGCCTCAGTCATGCACTTTCGCTATCAACTGTGCAAATAGTGTCTTGAAAAGCTTTAATAAATATGTCCCTGGCTTTCACATATACCCAGGCTCTTTCCAGGGACTGATCATATCTCATGGTAATGGTCAGAAGGGAACACAGGGTCATACATAGGTCAGTGGTATAGGGCACTGTAAAAAGACAAGTAATTTTAGGACAAATGATATGGACGCTGTTTTCCTTCATTGGCTTTTTGGTCTAAAGTCGGAATTCAATTACAGTGGTGAAATTGCTTTGCTGTGTTCATGCTTGGCTGACTACCTATTACTTTGGTTTGTCCACAAATCCACCTTTAAAAGTTGTGGCTTGTTGCTTTTGGCCAAATGAAGTATTTAATCTCAAGGGAGCACAAAATGTCTTATGTGGCTTCGGAGATGTTTTAATGATAGTGGTTCTCAATTTTGGCCTTTTTTAATTGGTGCATGAGGTGTGCCAATGTGCTTGTAGGTTGTTGCAATATTGAAACAGAACAGTGATCCAAAACCTGGAGATCTACCCCCATGCAGAGCTCAGCTTCAACCCAGCACTAATACACCTGATCTAGTTTTCTGATTAGGGACTCCAAACCAGTCCACATTTTCATTATGTTCCTGCTCCCAACACACCTGAGCGAGGTCAACAGGGGCTGGAGAATGCTGAAAAAAAAAGTGGACTGGCTGGGAGTCTCTGAGGACTGCAGCAAAAACCACTGATCAAAGCAGTTAGGAAGCTTGGCATTCCTTTTCAAAGAAGGTGAACTTCCTGCAAAATATTTACCCAACTTTTCAGCTTCCCCATTGGATTTACCTTCTTATTGAAAAGACTGCTTGCAAGACCCCTCCACAAATTCCTTTTTAAAAGAATGCCATATTCCTTGCCCAGGAAAGTTGTGGGAAAGTCCTACTGTCCAAGTGCTTTAATAAAACCATGTTATTACTGTACCCAAGCAATATAACGAGAATGTACACGCTGACTGTTACTGGTCTCAAACCAGACCTTCAGTATTTGTTTTATGACTACAGACCTGAGTCAGAGAGGAATCTCTCTTTGACTAGTGGGTCTGGCTCGTAGCTACGCCTAGATAAGGTGATGAGTGTGAAAGATTTCACCCACAGTCCTTTGTTTGTAGGATGCAGTTGTGCTTGTCTCCAGCTCAGAAGACTAGATTAGGTTGAAGGTAGCGTACAAGACTCAGTTATCTGAGGAGAAACCTCAAGAACAACTCCCCGCCCTGCGGCTCTCTCACCTCAACAGGCCGAGTCTGATAGCAGCTGTCTCATCTCCTGCTGCTCCTCTGGCTCTTTCTCAATCCAGGCGCTCTGGAGAGTACAGAGCCCCTGAAAGGACATGGGGGAAACAAAATGACATGGGTTTATCTATAATGGGTGCCTGCAAGTGTCCTGTGTTGTTTTTTCTCAGAATAATTATGTTGAGGTAATTATGACAGAATAATTATCTCGACATAATTTCCATGGGATAATTATCTCAAGATTATTCCTTGTAGTATATTGAGATAAGATAGTTTTGTGTATCCATGATTGGAACTATTGTAATGAACATTGACTGTTATATAGCACTTTATTTTGAACTCAGTCTTAATAACAAAGACGTGTACAGAAATATATCTGTGGTACTGCTTTTTATTCAAGAGCAGCTACAGCTTTCCAGACAACTTAATGGCTATAGGTGGATGCATGCAAAGTGTTAGAGAATAACCTACGTGTCAAAAAATGAGATATCAAGAAAGTTTTACCGAGAAAATTATCTCAAGGTAATTATCTTGAGATAATTATCTGGAGAAAATGATCCTGAGAAAATTGTCTTAAGGAAAGTATCCAGAAAAAAAATGATTTGTTTATTTGAGAAAAAATCATTTGGATGTTTTTTTTTTACTCATTATGGAAAAACCCATGTCATTTCCCCCACCATTTCTTTTCAGGGGCTCTGTAGGAGAGTGATGAACACAAGCAGAGCTGTGGCGAACACACTGAACTTGACGTCTACGTGTCATTTGATGAGCTGCACAGGAGCGCGAGCGCTACGTCATAATGGAAATTTTGATTATTGCATTAACACTGATTTGTCCTATTGGGGGGAGATGGAGGGAGGAAGGGGGCGGGGCTGTACATAATCAAAAACATCACAGTGCAGTACACTCAAGGCTGGAACTGATTGGTGCTACTGTTAAGCGATTAATTTGTCACCTTAAATTGCTTGTTTACCAAAATATCTAATTTACACAGTTTTCCTGAAGTCGTAGTCAATCATTCAAGACATGTTCGGTTTGACATACATAGTGGTCACGGGATTCTACTCACATTCTATCTTGAGCCTCAA